ATAGAACTGCTTACGCATACATCAAAATCTGAAAATAAATGTTTTCTGAAAATTTAAAAAGGAAAACACTGAACCTAAAAATGTGGTACCACATTGTTCCAAAAAAAAACGTTGCTTCATAATTTACTTTTTTTAATCTGGTATGGTTTTCCTAGTTTGTCAGTGCACAAATCAAAGATTGTAACAATGAGGAGGAGGGGGGGACTTGTGATGATAAAAAGATGTTTATGATTTTATCAGATGTTTTTTTCTGTACCACTCAACTTAATTCAATCTCCCTGTTAGTCATGACCGAGAATCCCCGGATTTTAAAGGGGATTTGCGGTCAACTTCGGTCTTTATCTTATTGGTTATTGCCGTCTTAAACCGCAAACTCAGAAGGAGGAATTATAACCATGTCCCCCTTTTTCTTAAGCCCATCTTCCCCGAATGTCACCCCAACATCAGATAACTTTTTTCCTTTTGTCCCTGTTTTGTTCCTGCTTTTAACAGAAAAAAAAATGACTTTATGTAACACACACTGCATTCAGTGACTGCTTATCTGATCTTTTAAGTTATCAGATTTTAACTTTTCTGTGATATATTTATCTCTTTCTCCTCTCTCAATACAATGGTCCCCTCTCAAGCCAAAGAAACTAAAAACATTGTATTTATTGGTGCTTCATGTGCAGGTAAACAAACACAAGGAAAAAGGAAGTCAAACTCATGATCATATAGCTATGGGTTGTGCACTTCATTGGCGTCAAGAGCCTATTGAAGGTTATAAAATGATTCTGATTGATGAAAAGACTCACTTCAATCATGTCTTTGCTTTCCCCCGTGCCTCTGTCATTCCCGGGTTTGAAGAAGAACTGTTTGTCCCTTACAATAATACTTTTGAAGGTGATGATACCAAGGGCCAAGTGATTCATGCTCGTGCTACCTCAATTCATAAAGACTATGTGGAAATTGATAGAGAAGTGCCTGGATTTGGACAAAAGATTGAGTATGCCTATCTTGTATATGCTGCAGGTACAAAGATTCCTGAACCTGGTCGCTTCACTGTCAATACAAAAGAAGAAGGGATTGAAAAACTCAAGCAATATCAAGAATTGATTAAAGAAGCCGAAAAGCCTATCATTATTGGTGCTGGTGCTGTTGGTTTAGGTAAATTGATGATGATGGGTGTCATTATGTGTATTGATACATCATAGAACTTGCTTCTGAAATTAAGGAACACTATCCTGAAAAAACGGTCACTCTTTTACATTCTCGCAACAGATACTTGCCTAGATATAAAGTTAGTATGGATGTCATGATCTATAATATTCTCAAGAAGCATGGCGTAAAACAAGTCTTGGGTGATCGTGTTATTCTGCCTCCGAATGGGTTCCCTTTAGAGGTTAAACCTATTGAAGTGCATACAAAAGGTGGTAATATTATTCATGGTGATTTTGCAGTAAGCTTATATTCCAGAAAGAGAGACAACTCACCTTCACATAGATCATGTGTATAGGCATGACACCCAATAACGGTCTACTCGAAACTCTTTCACCAAAATCGATTGATCAAGATACTGGATTTGTCAAAATTAAGCCTACAATGCAAATTGCTGATGATCGATTTCCTCATATCTTTGCAGCTGGCGATGTGACAAATCACACAGATGTCAAAACTGGTCATTATGCTTGGATGCAAGGTTTAGCTGCCTTGACGAATATCAAGAAAATGATTCAAGGTGCTACTCAAGAAGAATTAGAGCCTTACAAGAGTAAGGATCTTGCATTGATCAAGCTTATTTTAGGAAAGGTAAGAAATGAGCGACTATAGCATAGACGAGACGTTGACTTGGTTTTACAGAAAGAAGCAGTGATGCAAACGCATGTGCTTGGCCCTTTGGTAGCTGTGGGCTCTTGGATCGCTGGTCGTTCTATTCCTGAAAATGTCTATGCATCTGCTACTTGGGGTTGGCTAAATGCCCCATTAGAAGAATTATTGGCCAAGAAAAAGAAGTTGTCAACAATAAGCTGTTAAACAGATATTTGCTTTTCCAAATACATTGTATAAATATATCAAGTGGCAGTTTTGCTTTTATAGGAAAAAAAGTATTGTTTTATTTTTACATGGTATTGAAAATGCAAATCTGGCTTGAACGGAATGCAAAGTCTATCCGCATTAAGTTTTATTTTTTTTTATGGCATACTAAACCTTTCTGTCAATCCTAGACATATAACATGAATGCGTTTGTGCTTGAGAATATTTGAACTTATAAACTGTTTCAAGCAACCCAATGATATTACAATAACCTTAGCTTATTGAGGAAAGACTCAAGAAACTATGTGTCGATCATTAAATATAATGTTTTATAATCTGTTCATATCATAAGACTTGTTTTTAATAAAAACAAGTTTATCTCATGACAAAGCCTATCTTTCATGATGTCTACAATAGCTACCCCCTTTTTTTTTCCCAAAAACTAGGAGTCAAAGCAAGAGCACATAACAAGCTCTCTTTACCTGTTTGTCTTCTTTTTCTTTTCCTTTGTTTTTTCTTTCTTTCTTTAAACTGTAAATATATAAATTTGTACTATGAAACTTTCAAGAGAGGTTAAAATCTACTTTATGCTGTGTATTACCGGCTTGTTCTTTCTTGCAGAAATCATTGTTGGTTATTATACTGGCTCTCTCTCTCTGGTAAAATGAAAACGCATTTATATGTTTTCCTTTGTGTTTTTTGAGTCTAATGCAAACATTAGATAGCTGATTCATTCCATATGTTGAGTGACATGATTAGCATGTGTGTAGCACTATGGGCTATTAAGGCAAGGATAATGCAATATTTTGTGTTTGATAACCATATTATTAGGTTGCTAAAAAGACACAATATAACCCTAAATACTCATATGGTTGGCAAAGAGCCGAAATCCTTGGTGCACTTGTGAATGGCGTGTTTTTGTTTGCATTATGTTTTACCATTTTTATAGACTGCATCAAACGATTTGTTACGCCTGAGCCCGTAACTCAACCGATCATGGTATTGATCACAGGTAGTGCAGGTCTAGTTGCAAATTTGATTGGCTTATTTATATTTCACGGTATGTAACATTCTATTTGTTTGGTATCTCACTAAATGCCATTAGAACATGGACATCACCATCATCATCACCACCATGAAGATCATGCAGGACAGGATCCAGAGTCAATGGAAGGTCGCAAAGGGCATTTGAATATGAGAGGTGTAAGGAAAAACTTTTTCTTTCTTTTTTTTCCTTTTTGTTTATAATATGACCAAAAATAGATCTTTTTACATGTCTTAGGTGATGCATTGGGTAATGTTGGAGTTATTGCATCGTCACTGTTTATTTGGTTGACGGATTACAGTTGGAGGTTTTACTTTGATCCTGCTATGAGGTATATATATATATATATGTATAAAGATGCTTAGTAAGCCATGTTTTAACTTATTTGTTTAGTTTGTTGCTGACAATCATCATCTTTTTATCGGCAATTCCTTTAGGTATTTTTAGGATGAGCATTCGACAGTTACTTACTTTATTTTTTTTCTTAGTCCGACAAACATCATTTATCCTTTTACAAGGAGTACCTCAAAGTGTTCCAATAGACGATGTCAACACATCACTTTTGAAGGTATAGAAAAATGAAAGAAAAGAAAAAAGACATTCAAACAACACATCATGTATAGTTAGAAGATGTCATATCTGTACATGAATTGCATGTCTGGCAATTATCAGACACAAAGTTAATTGCCTCACTTCATGTCTTACTCAAATCCCGTGAAGGATACATGGTATTGGCTTCCAAGATTCGAGAAGTTTTGCATGGCTATGGCGTTCATTCAGCTACCATTCAGCCCGAATTTGTTGAAGATCAATTAGATGAAAAGTATGATGGATCCAGAAATACACATATGATTTACAGCAGTCCCAACGAGGTAAACAAAGAAGTGATTGTTGTCTATACTAAACCAAACATAGGATTCAAACAACTCGTCATCATGTCTTTTACGTTGTACTGAAGAATCCTGTTTAGAGAACACTTGCTGTCCTCCCGAACAACAATGATGAATACTTGTATAATAAACATTTTACCATCGTACAAAGTGTTTATCATGGAACTTCTTTATAAATGAATTTTATGTCTACAGGAATGTCTATGTATATAATATAGGATGACGCAAATAGTCTCTCAACTGCTTCTACCAGGCACAGCTACCACAGCATCGTAACCAGGCAATGAACCAGAGAAACTATAAAGTCTATTGGATCGAATGGCTGTTGTGTAAGATGGTACTCTTGATAAATCAATTCCTTCCCAAGGCAATGGATCTACCACTGCTTGTCCATGCGCTTCATTCTCATCCTCTGTATCTGAATTGGATGATGATGTATGTACTCCAATGGCTGCTTCGTTTGGCGCTGAAATAGCAATAGAAGGAGGAAGATCACCTCGAGCAATGAGTGTTGCTACTTGCTGTGGATCATAAGGTGCTGATTTCCATGCATCTTCATAAGCTGGTAGTACATTCTCATCCTCTACGGGTGAGACTTCTGCTATCACTACTGGAATTGCTGCTCTTAACTCTAAAGCATGACTCAGTTAAACACTTTGACTCATGCTTTCTTACCTGAAATATGTCCATCAGCATTTGTTAATGATACCGTAAACTTTAATTTATGCTTAATTTTTATCAAATCACATGCTGAATCTGTCTGGACAAGATGGGAAGAGAGTTCAGGCACTGGTACCAGCTCGGTCTTTGTCCATGGATCTTGCCCACTTGAAAATTCCTCGTCTCTTATGTGTTTAATGACTTTACCTTCCATTTTTGAATGATCTTCGGCAGACAATGTTGTGTATTCCTTTAACACACAAGAGACAGAGCGCACCCGTAAATCTGGCGCAATAGGCTGTAAAGCAAATGTAACTGGAATAATGCTGCCCATACTGAACACCTTACTTGGGATGCTGATATCATAACTTAATTTATCAACCCAGACATTAGAAATAACAACAATTTGTGATAATTCCAATGACGAAGGTAGTAACACACGCGAAACTTTGATCTCTCGACGATCATTGTAATTCATAGAGAAAGTGGGTCTATCTACCACAGCTTTTAGGCGATAACTAACTTGTCCAAGTTCATGGTTGACTGTTTCAGGCAAATCACCGGGTAAAGGAAGTTCAAAATCCCTATGAATATATCAATAACCCGTTTTGCGAATTAGTTTTTACCATTTGTAATGGCCTTCGGGTAAATGATAGTTTTTGTGTTTGGGTCTCAAAAAACTCCACTCGTGCTTGATGATGGTCTTTTCATCTTTGTAATGGCGCTGGTGAGATCCAAGGCCTATTCTGTATCAGTAAAACAGGCTATTGAACAAGATAAACTACCTTCTGTCCAGTTAACCTTGGCTTTCCCGATAAATTTAAGTGAGATAGAACGTACTTTGGTAGTTTCCTGACAATTGAGAACAACAGAACCTCTCAAGATAACACCAGCAGACTCATCAACGCTACCATGTAGTATGATGTGACTTGTTTCCAAGTTGATATGGAAATCAGAACTATGAACAAGTTGTATAGGATTAGGTAGAATGTTCATTTTGTAAAGAAAAAGAGAAAAAAAAAATGCATTGTACTGGCTTTTTTTTTTTTTTCAAGGATTTGCCTACCAATCAGCTTTCAGAAGCAGACTGGCTTTACAATTACTCTTTGAATATAAATGCATTAATACTTAACGACTGGAAATATGAACAACTTTTACACTGTTGTTGATAGAAGAAAGAAACATAAATATTCAGCATATTTGATCTATTTTTTGTTTTCTAGAGAGAACGTTTTGTCCATTTAAGAAGAAAAGTTAACCATTTTTATGTAAAGATATAGATAGTTAATTGATTGATATTTCAGTAAGCTTTAAAGTATGTGTACTTTCTCAGTTCTATTCAATGACATTCTTTTATGACACTAACATGTCCTATTTTTCTTTCTTATGGCTGATTTATATGCATCTGACAGACTGGGGTCTACCTTGTGTTTATTATATCTAAACTATTCTTTTTAAACTTAAGAGTGCCAAGTATTGTAGTAGACCTTAATTAGAGATATTCTATACATAGAATGCTATAAGTTAGTGTCCTTTCGCTATCTAATATCTACTAAAAAGGCTACTTTAGTACTAACTACAGTGCACAATAAACTTTGAATGCAGATTTGAAGCCAATGTCCATATTAAGTCGATGATTTCGTCTTAGTAAACTCGTTTTCTTTTCTCCAAAAGCACCTAGACATGGCCTTACCTGATTTCGGTGGGATCAGACATGTAATCCATGCGTGTAAAGGCAGGATTTATGCTACCTTTATAGGCCTAAGAATATGGTCGAACTTTGTATGCATTGTTGTCCCTTTTTCAGTTTTGAAGTAATTGTTTGCCTGCTGTCTCAATTGTATGAACAAGTAATGTAGTACCAAATATCTTGTTCTAATAAAATGCTCTATTAAAAGAAATGTGATCTCCCAAATCAAGTGGAAAGGTGCCATAACATAGGCAGGATTCAACTGACTTGAGAAAAAAAAATTCGATTTATGCCATTTCATTCAGAATCATTTTATCTTGTTGATAGACTATTTCTTTGACTAGTATCTTTACTTAAATTAAGCTTAAACGAAGTATATATCTTGTCCTCTAATTGCATTTCTCGAGATATCTTTTTTTTTTTTGAGAAAGAATATAGGACAGGGGGGGTTTATTATCGAATTTGTTTGCATAGAAGCAAGACTTTATTCTAGTAAGAAGAGGGTATCTAGGATGTCTTATGGGTAATAGCTGAATTCATGAATGAAAAAGAAGAATCTATATTGGAAGTTTCATTCAAAAAGGCAAATGTAGCTTGCATATCCATAAAACTATCTATGTCAAACAATTCCATTTTTGCGCCCAAGGTCGAAGGTTTAAATGAAGGTGTTTGTGTAACGGATGCTTCTTCGGTAGATGGAACAGTATTGTCACTCAATGATTTTTGGTATTGTTTTGGTATGACCGAAGGTGTTGGAGGAGCACTCTTTCGATTTTTGGATTCTTCCTGGCGCAATGGTTTTTTTGATTTCTTTTTCTTTAAAAAGAACGAACTAAACGAACGTTTTGGCTTTAGTTTAGGTTCTTCCTCAGCCAAAGTGTTTTGCTCCATAGGTGCTTGTGGTACAGTCCTTGGCTCTAATGACTTGGATACTCTGAGTTTTAGCTCAGGTGGTTTTGATGCGATGGGGTTTTGTTCCGCTTCGATTTGTTTTGGTTCAATGGTGCTTTGCTCTAATTTTTGTTGTGTGACCTCTAGTGCTGCTCGGTACTGTTTTTGTAATTCCATAGCAGGTGTAGGCTTATTCTGTTCCTCGGGTCGATCTTGATGAATATCATCCGCATCGAGTTGATGGGTCGATGGCGTTTCATGGTCTGATGTGTTCGTCTCTTCTAAAGGAGGAGGAGGAATATTGTCCATCACTTCTGAAGGCCAATAATCTAAATGCCATTGTTTTTGCCACTGTCTTGCTTCTTCAAACATGCTGAACCAATTGAAGGGCATGTCCATACGTAAATGCTTAGACCAAAGGTGAATAGGGGGATTACCAGCATGATCAAATGCATGATAAGCATCGAAGTTATTAGGTAAATATCTATTTTTATGTTCAATGGCCTGTCTATCCATAGTGTATAACATTACCTTGCTTCTGACCATCTTATATGGTCTACTGAATCAGTACCTATGTTGATCAGATAAGCATCATGTTGATATCAATATCATTACTTGCGTAAAATAGAAAAGCAACACATATCATCATCCCATCCTATAGTTTATGAATGACCACATCTTTATCACTTTTATTTTTCTTTTACCTTGAAATAGACCAATGGCAACGAGTTTAATTTTAAGAATGTAAAGTTCACCTTGCTGTAGCTCAGATAGCGGAACAAGGTCCAACATATATTCGTTATCGGCTGTTACACTTGGCGTATGCGAGTTTAACATGAAGAAAAAGAGAAATAGTAAAAAAAAAAAAAAAAAAAAAAAAAGACGGTTGTTCATTTTAAATAATAAGCAGATTTTGTGCAACCAACATGGTCAAGTAACATTTTCGGTAATTCCATCTTTATTTTATTTTATATAGGTTATGCGTTCTCCCCCCCTTTTTTTTATGACATTGGATGCTAACTTTCTTCATTTGCTTTCAATACCATGTTTTTAAGAAACCGTTGCAATACATGACGCATACGTTGTGGTGTAATTTTAGGTGAATATTTTGTGATTCTGTATTCTAAGCATCGGGTGACAATGTCTCTTGGTATAAATGAGCCTTTTGTTGTAGGAGGAGAAGGTGTGGCTTCTTGTGTCGATGGTTGTTGACCGGGCAAAATGACAGATGTTGCAGGACGACTGTAATAAAAAGAAGGTGACATCCATTTGGCAAACGAGTTCTTTTGTGTGGATGCAGAATACCAAGAAGGTGACATACTTGTGCTTGGTAAAATGCTGTTGGCAAATGAAGGATGGTATAACGAAAGTGTCTTGGTCTTATCTTCTGGTTCTTCTTCTTCTTGAGGTTTTTGTTGTGGTGAAGAAGGTGCAGAAGAAGGATGTTCTGAAGTGACCAAATGGCGATAACTGTTTCTTAAGGCAAATTCAGGCGGAATGATGTCCATTGTCACTGTGCCCATCAAGTGAAGATGGCGAATGGCTTGTAGCACATCAGAGACTACAATACATCAATACCACTGCTTTTTGTTGTTGTTGTTGTTGTTGTTGTTTGTTACTTACTATACAAATACTCTAAGAATTCTCTATTTTTAAATAGTCGTTTTTCATTAATACGGTGCATGACTTTATGCCATAAATTTGTTCTATCTTTCCAATAAGGCCAACCATACTGCATCAACACAATCATGTTGCCTGCCTTTTCATCCCAACGAAGGGCAGAATCAATAGAGGCCATACCACCACGCTGTTCTGATTCATTATCGAGACTTACAATCAAATGCTTAATACAACGCACCACCAGGCCTTCTTGAGTCACTCTCATCAGACCAAATTCTCTTCCATCAAACACATTGGCTACTGTACAACAATCAGCTTCATCCATCACGAAATCCTTTTCGTCCAATCCATTAGGAATAGGAAACACAGATAAAATGATAGCAATTTCCAATGTGGATTGCTATTACTAAGGTCAATGCTTGTCTACACTCTGGCTGTTTTACTTACCTGAAGACTGCCTACCAGTAAATAGATCACACCAATATTGTATAAGACACGGAAAGCAAACATGAATGGAATGTCCATCTCAGCAGAAGGTTTGTCTGTCTTTTCTTGTCGACGTTGTACTTCAATACGATCACAGATAGTCTGTGATAACTCAAGTGCTTTTGCTAAATTACCAGGTATAGAAGGCTACATCATAAGAAAATAGGTCCCCATACAATCAAATACACTTACAGAAGATAAAGCCAAATCACTTCGAACAAGTAGGACTGCATTATGCATATCAAACGGTAATCGATAACCATCAATCACACGGCATAATTCTAACCCAGATAAATACAATCAACTTTCTCTTTTTCTCTATTCTTTACCTTGTTCCCATCCTCCTAAATGATCCACCAGTGATTTTTGTGAAATGGTCGTAGAAGCCCATTGCCATAATTCAACCACATGACGAAGACAATCAGCTGCTTGACTCAAGACTTGTAATGCTTCATCTACGCCTCGAATACAATACGAGTCCAGTCCTTGTCCTCTGTCTTGTTCTTCTAATCTCGGTCGCTTTTCAGGCTGGTTGTCATTCGAGAAATCCAAAGTCGTACGCTCTTCTGTTGTCACACGTTTTTGACCTGTCATGACTTCAGGTGAATTTGGCTGAAATGAACAGACAGGAATCAAGCATGATTTCTCTTGTGATTTATGCTGTTCATCCATACCACACACAAACTTGTAATAATCGTACCCAAACTGAACAAACTGACAAGTGGCTGCCATGAATTCGCACATCAGGGTAGCCACAATCGACAGATCATCTGTGGTAGCATTGTCCTTGGTTTCATCATCATTAATACGCACACTCATGCGGTGTTCAATCAGATACTGAAATCGAACCAAATGGGAGACTGAATCCAACTGATCCAATCCATGGTAACTAAGATAGGTTCAGTCATCAACATGGTTCAGCATCCTACTTACCCACAAGCAGACAACATGGCACAGGTAAACTGAGTGGATTCATCCCATTGATGCTTTTTAATATAAAATCGTTGTCCCAACAATAGAAACTGTTCAAACAGATGATAAGGTAGTGTGATATAGTGTTTGCTTTCTGTGGATGTAATACTGGGCATTTTATCTTTTCTGACAAGCAACAGTCGTTGTTTACAGAGACGAGGAAATAGTTCAGTCACAAGTAAACGAATGCAGTCTTGTCTTTCATCTCCTTTACTTGCTTGTGCACACAATATCAGCAGATTGATGGCATTGATCTATCGATTCAGTCTTTGTTATTTTCTACTGTTGACTTACTAGGTATTTATAAGCGTGTCGAGGATAAGCTTGAATATAATCAAATAAGATCATAAATGCTCGCATGGATTCTTTCTCTTCCAATTGTTCTAATAGTAAAACTAAGCATATGTTGTCATTGTTGTGTTTACCTGTTGCCACATCAATAATGTTCGACTGTAACAAACACGGTAAAGAAGCAAAGAATCCTAATCATACTGTCAATCAAGGATAGTATATGATGGTCACATACGACTGGCTTCTGTATCTTTAGCTGGATCAATACTCTCTGCTACTTGTATTAGATAAGACTGAAATGTAGGGTGTTGTGGGCTATTTGAATGTCTAGGATAGAAGGGATCAATATCTACCATGATGAGGTTGTTCTTACAATAATACAAAGCTCTGTATGGCTTTATCAAAATTGCCAGCTTGAATAGCTGTACGAAGCGTGTTGAACTGAATAAGATGAATATGTGCATCTGTATATTAAAGCTTACTTCATTATCGAAATGAGTGGTGTCTGTACAAGTGCCACATGAACGAGGGGATGTTGGTTCTTTTGACATGGTGTATGATCTTGATGGGAAAAAAAAAAAAAAAGAAAAAGAAAAAGGGAATTTATTTCCAGATGGATTATTTTAAGCCAAATATCTGTAGCTGTCATGAAGGCTTCTCTCTAAATACTCTCTATAGATAAAAGTGATTAAGATGCATGGTTTGTTCTTTTGGTTGACTTACTTGTCAATCAAGACTTCAATTCTCTTTTTGATCTCTTGTGCAGTAACAGGGAATGAAACAAGACAAGTCACTTCATTTAACAATTGACCATGACTGAGTGTTCCTTTTGATTTCATAATACGGACAATCACAGCATCCATTTGTTGTTCTCTAGCAAACAAGACAGGTGTATCTAGATGAGCGTCTTTTTCAATTACTTCACTTAGGGTGGCTGCGATCATGGAGAATGTTGATTTGTCTGTTTGGAATCCATCATGCCATACAAATGTATCTGTGGGCTCAATCTCTTGTCCTTCAGGATATTTGATCAGTAATTTGTGCTCTCTACAGGCTAAAGAAACCAACACTCTTCTTAATTCCAATTCATCCAGTTGCGTAGATACCAGTATCTCTTTAAATGTAAAGGTGGTTGCCTGATTAAATAACAACAACACAACAGCCTGGACTAATGTCACTGTGATTGTCTTCTCTCCCTAATGAAAATAAGCCAAAGAAGCCTTAGTTCAGACTTACCTTTGGATAGCATGCTTTGATATCACATACACCCAGTGAATGATGCCATGTTAAGACTCTTTTTTGAAATTTAGTAGAATAGAAGTGACTATACATTGTCTGTGCTTGTTTAAATAAAGGGGGTAAATGAACCTCAATAGACACATAGGATGGCCAGAAACCATATGTCAGTAGATTGACATGCATATTCAGTCGAGGGGAATACGCTGTCTATGAAGCACATCAATAACGGCGTCTTGCTTGCCTCACTTACATTGAATTCATGCATCAGTTCAGCGGATTTCTCAATGTCTTTGACCATGCCTTCCATCTTGCCCGTATAGCCAGCACCACAAATCTTTTTCATTTTAGCCAACATGGCCTTTTCTCCTTGCTTATGGGTTGTGTTGAGTAGCAATCGCTTAGCCAGATCACGCTTATAGACCATTTCAAACGTATCTTTGGCTTGTAAGTAACGAAACAGAAACATAGCCTTTTCCAGCAATCCTTCTTCATACACAGCACTCTTGAACACACTATCTGTGTATTTGGCCAATAGTTTGATAGCATTGTTTTCACGTAAATTGACAAAGTATTCAATACCATCCTTCAATCCATCTGCAAATTGATCATCTCCTTCAAAACTGTGGTCTACCATTTCATCTGTTTGCGTCTCAAATGCAGATAACATCATGATTCTCTCTTTGACGCTTGTCTTTGCATTCATGATAGAAGATCCTTTTTTCTAATCATTGGTCAGTGTTGTTGATGGTCATCGAACTTACCTTCACATAGGCTGTGAAATACTTGGCACAGATCTCTAAATGATCAATTTTTTGTAATAATCGATACAATAAAGAGAATTTATCATAATCAGTATCTTGAAACAAATCAAGACGCTCAAAATAATCAAAGCCTTATTGTCATCAGTTTGATACATAAGATTCTCACTTACATTTCTCTAATATCACTTGGACGCGTTTAGTCAGTAATTCTTGTTCAACAATCGACTGCAGGGATAACTTTAGTGATTTATCAAAATAATTCTTGACGCGTAAAATAGATTCTTGATGAACACGCATAGAAGCATGTTGTAAATAATCAAAGACATCCAATGTGGTCAACAATTGATCTCCTTCTTCACTATAAAATGCTTTGGTCTGTATCAACAAGTGCTGTTCAAAAGAAGCATGGTACAGATCCAAATCCATCAACATGCGAATGTTGGACTGTAAAAAGGATTCATCAATCGATTGACACGATCGTTCTTGTCGAATCAGATCCAAGATACTTGACAATGTCTTTTGCCATACGATGTCATATAGACTGAACCTTGTTCTGAAGAGGTCCATGGCCATATTCCATAAAGATCCTGTCTTGGTAGTAGACATGTAGGTCCTATCCAGATAGAGAAACAAACATCTTATTTGAGACTATAGAGAATGTATCAGTCGTCAGTTGAGGTAAGGTAACATACCATTTGATGTCCATAGTCTCGCCATGTCGAATGAACGACCCTCAAGTAGTCAAGGCCTTCTGTTGAATGATTGGCTAATGTCTGAAACTGAAGATCGATATGTTGACTACAGGCATCATGGACATGTTGATATAAATCTCGAGCAAAATCATATTGACACAAGTCTTCACATAACTAACAAGCGTAAATAATCTCATCAACAATGTCGATCTTACTTGGTAAAGCACCTCAAGACTTTCAGCACAAGGTTGATTGTGTTGAATGGCATGAATGGCACGCTCCAACCGAAGCCAAGATGCATGTTTATAAGCTTCATCTAATTCGGGTTTATCGACTCAAAATATTCCCCCCCTTCTCTCAGTATACAATATTTATATGTGTGTATCTTACTTTTGAGATCGTAAACAATCAGCTTTTTATCAGAAAGAATAGGATGCTTTTGATTATGGATGGCGTTCGTGAGATATTGACTGAAAGGGAGTTGTTGAAAATAAGTGGATGCGTTGGATCCATTCTCAAGTTTAGGTCGTTTGACAAGTTCCCAGTCAGTCATGGTTAAGAAGAACAAGAAAAAAAAAGAGACGCGTTGATGTCGAATTTATACTTGTGTGATATTTAAAGTCAGAAGAGACCTTTCTTTAAAAGAGAAACGGGGGGGAAGGAAGATAGGCTCAGGTAAGAACCATGACTTGGTGCTTTACAGAATAAGAGCTGTATTATTAGATATATTTTTTCCCTTGAAGAACACGTATGTTTATACCCATGAGAGGAAATAGGACGCATAAAGACCATCGTTAAATCGGAGCCTTGAACCACATCGCGAGATCTTTTTATATTACAGTCGTTCCAGTGCCAAAGGGCGAGTTATAAATCTTTCCAAAAGACGTGAATCAAAACTGACTTTGATCATCGTAAAAGGAAAGTTAATGTCACTGGTCATTATATGAAGTTCCTTGAAACCCCCAATGGATGGCATGGATTGTTTTCCTGAGCTAAAAGGTCATGGATAATGTACCCATTCATATAGCGGACCAAATTGATGAGATAATAGTTGCAAGAGTTTACAAGAGTATCTACCTCTTCTTGCTTTCCTGAATTTGATCCAATAGAGTAGGCTTCGCAATCAAGTCGAGTCAAGTCAAGTCTGCATGATTTTGGAATGCTTGTCCATCCAATAGTATTCCTGTTACTTTCTTTACGCTATAAGCTACAGCTAAATTATAAAAAGCATGCATATTCTTTAAGTTTCTTGTAAGATTCGGATAAAGTTTATTTTAATTGATGATAATACATACAAGTAAAAATACATGGTTTTGGAACTGTTTAAAATGACAATGAATATAAAAAATAAATGTAAGAAAGTAAAGCAAAAGTAAATAAAAAGAAAAATAGAGAAACGATAAAGGATGTAATGGAGACAATTAGAGTTGTTCAGACCAGTAGATGACCAGCATCATTTCCTTCACATGCTCCGGCGATAGGCGACTTCTTTTGTCGGTAATCAATTGACTTGACCTACTAAACACAGGTTCACAACTTGCGCTTGTGCATGGCACCGCCAAAAAGTCCTTCGCCACCTTGGCAAATGAATATTGTTCTATGAATTTCTCTTGCTTAGAAGGTATCCTATTATGTTCTATTGCCTATCATATGTAGTACTTCACTACAGACAATCTGTAATTGGAGATTTTGCAGAATTAGAGGAAGCGCTGTCAGACAGAAGAGGCAAGCTATTGAAAGCTTCAATTTTCTTTTTAATTGCCTTCTTTTTATGGTAGGCAATCGGCTTTTTGACAACTGATAAAGACTGCTCTATTGGATCAAGTTCAGGAAAGTGAGGAGAGGTAGATACTCTTGTAAGTTCTTGCTAATTCTTATGAATATAAACGTCGTATAAAAAGAACCAAAGAAAAAAGCAAAAGAATGTTTGTTATGCGGTGGCATATTTATATCACAGGTTTGTTTACAATTTAACTGTTGCAGTATCAAAAAGGGGGAAATTTTAGTGACCTGCTTTTCAGTGTCTTTTGAGAAAAATTTATAACCCGCCCTTTGGCGCTGGAATGACTGTATGTCTTCCAACAAAGGTAGAATATGACATACTATAAAAACCACTCATGACAAGGATAGTCCAATGTCCTATTTGTGAACAATGGGTGCCTTCAAACAAGATCAATACGCATATTGATGCCAACTGCCCACCTTCTGTAAAAGAAGAAGAATCATCCACAGTTGACACAACAACACGTATGGCTCCTTTATTTGCACCTCAAAAGAAACCTGCTACGCAAGAATCAGCCACGCCTTTAAAACGTCCTAATACAAGCACAGCGACAGCCACGCCACCGAAACGAAAAAAGACAGACATTGCTTATGCATCGATGCCTTTGGCTGCGAAAGGTAGATGGAAACAAAACATCATGATGATACTGATATTAGGGTTTAGTACGTCCTACGCATCTAGATGAATTCGTAGGTCAACATGAGCTTTTAGGTGATGACGGTATTTTGAAAAAACTGATTCAAAGTGACCGTATACCGTCCATGATGCTATGGGGTCCACCCGGTTGTGGCAAGACAACTATTGCACGTATTATTTCCAACATGACCCGCTCTCGGTTTGTTGAATTCAGTGCTACTAGCCATAATACAGGGGATATCAAAAAGGCATTTGAGGATGCGCGAGGTCATTTAGCATTGACTGGACAAAAGACCATCTTGTTTATCGATGAGATTCATCGATTTACAAAAGCACAACAAGACGTGTTTTTGCCTTATGTTGAGCACGGCACTATTCATCTGGTGGGTGCTACTACCGAGAATCCTAGGTAAGAGAACAAGGTATAAAGTGATGGCGTAACATGAATCAAGTCTAGTTTCAAGGTCAATTCAGCCTTACTGTCACGATGTCGAGTATTTGTGTTGCAAAAATTAGATCAAGATCAGATCAAGTCTATCCTGAAAAGGGCATTGAACAAATGGCGAGAAAAACATGTGGATTCGATCAGCAATCTAGAAGAAGAACAAGCGTTAAATCAATTGGCTTCTTACAGTGATGGCGATGGTAAGCGTTCAATCACAGTCATGATGTATTGATCCCTCCTTCCCATGATTAGCAAGAGTAGCCTTGAATACGCTGGAAATAGCCATTAGTCTGCTACCTTCGCATCATCACTCACTTCAGCCAGAGATAGTCAAAGGTGCATTTCAGAAATCACACTTGTTATATGATCGAAATGGCGATCAACATTATGATATTATCAGTGCATTACACAAGAGTATTCGTGGAAGGTATGTTATCTATGTTTTCTATGTCTTATTGATCCATCTCTAGTGATGCCAATGCTGCCTTGTACTGGTTAGGTCGAATGTTAGAAGCAGGTGAAGATCCACTGTATATTGCTCGTCGATTAGTAAGATGTGCTAGTGAAGATATTGGATTAGCAGACAATACTGCTTTAACCTTAGTAAGCAGTATGTCGTTCATACATGTTTTTTTATTGATTCATAACATAGGCCATGTCTGCTTATCATGCCTGTGAAAAGATTGGCATGCCTGAATGTGATACCATCCTTGCTCATCTTGTGGTTCATTTAGCAGAGACAAAAAAGAGTGTCAGGACTTACAAAGCCTATAATCTTGTCAAACAAACCATTCGACAAAATCCATCTTATCCTGTTCCTTTACATATTCGTAATGCACCTACTTTACTTATGAAGGTAAGATTTTTTATTTTATTTATAGGTGTATTTACAATGATATAGAATTTAGGCTATGGCAAAGACTATAAATATAATCCAGATTATGAAGAAGTAGTAGATCAAACGTATCTTCCACCTGAACTACAAGAGACGCGTTTCTTAGATGCCTAAACCAATCGCTTTGATTTCTGCAATACGTTGACTCATGGTGTCTAAAGCAGCAGTCCATATTTCTAGTTCTTTTTGTTGACTAAATGTAGATGTTTTGAAGGGAATGATTTTGTTGGCTGAAGAAGTGATGCTTGCTTCTCTTGTTAAATAATGTGTATGACTTCTTAATGCAAACTGAATATCCTAAAAAAAAAAAGAAAGATTCAATATGGAATTTGAGACGAACACTTACATTCACAAGAGAGAAATAACGAGAAGCTAAATCACGAAAACGCATAGCACGATCATGCACAAATTGGTCTGCATTGGCTTCTTTAGGTGCTTCATCAGACAGAATAGAAAGTGCTTCTGCTGCTGTTTCTACCAACAAAACGAGTTTCTATTCTATTTAAAAAAGCAGTGTCTCTTCATCGACTTACTTTTTCTGCTTGATGTAAATCTTGAATGCGCATGGTACTTTCAGCCATGCGACCTGTTGGATCTTTATATTGATTGGACATGGAATTCAACACGAATGAAAGAAGAAGAAAAAAGTAGTTGCTGAGTTATCTTTAAAAAAAAACATAAAATCTAATTATTTTCTCTTTCTTTTTTCTTCTTCTTCTTTTTTTACTGTCATTCGACATCATCCAACAACAACAACAACAACAACAACAACAATACAGACAAGAATACAAATTGCATGGCAGGTCCTAGCGATGAACATAAAAAAGAGCTTAGCTTTGCTTCTCAGGTACAAGCATTTGATTTTTGTGGCGAATCGATTGATGCTTCTTTAAGGTAAAAACAAGCAACAGAGAAGAGAGAACGGAGAATATAAACATTAGACTATAGAAAACTATTAGCTAGAGTTCTTTTACCTAAAGAAGCACAACAGATTGATCGTGCTATGGAAGATTTTGCTAAACGATATCATGAATGTAATCCAGGACTAGTGGATCATCCAGGTAAGACTCATATCACAGACGACATAGGGCTGATCACTAGGCATTAGATGTTGTTTATGCAGTAGCATTTTCTATTTTGTTGTTGCATACAGATGCTCATAATAAGAATGTCAAACAAAAGATGAACAAGGATACATTTATTATGCGTACAAAAGTGATTGAAGGAGGAGAAGGATTTCCACATGAAATATTAGATGTAAGCCATCACAAGACTATAATATGTTGGAATTTATACAATTAGATTATTTATGACAACATTATCATGTCAGAATTTACCTATGCAGACAGTCAGACTACACTCAAAAATTCATCTTGGTTCTCTAAATTAAAGAGCAGCAGTTCTGTTGACTTGACACATCATCATACCCAATCCGTAAGTTGGTCTTTACTCTATCGATACTTATTCATGGTTAGAATGCCCTCTTGATGGATCTCTCTCAGAAATTAGAGCAACTCATGCCTGCCGAAAATAGTTTTCGTTATAAACGGACTCTGAAACCAATTCCTATGATGGAAATCCACCTGTCGCTTTTAAAAGCCAAATCGTTATGTTTAGCAGGTGTCAAGAGCAAACATGACAGCAGCACATCCACACACAACACATTCACGATACGTGTGACCAAAGCAGGTATCTTGGATAGAAAATACGATTTGATTCAAGGAGGCAAAAAAGCAACGGCTCGAGGATGGAGACCGTTTGGTGTGATTTTGAGTGGTAGTCAAATCATTTTTTTTGGTGATGTATCTTCTTATCAACAATGGCTTGAAGAAGAACCCATGTCACCCATGTCTATCCATTCCACCTCAGAATTGATTTCAAAAAGAAACCATAGTTTCCCTGTCTTGGCTGAATCTATACCCACCTCATCTTATTTAAGACCTGTTCAGATCGTATCTCTTTCTTATGCTGTCTGCATTTGTGATGAACAATACACTAAATACCCTCATGTCTTTCGACTCATCACAGGTGATGGACAGCAATTCTTGATGCGAGCACAGAATGATCAAGAGATGGATGACTGGATCCTCAAGATCAATTATGCTGCTACACTCAAGACAACAGGTGTACGTATGCGACCCTTAAAGCGACAGATAGACAGTGAACGATCTAAACGAGAAGAAAGAGCCAAAGAGAAAGTACAGGAACTATCAGATCGTATTGATGAACAAGTCAAACTATTGGACCGTGAATTACAACTACGCCGTAATCTGATGGTGATCGTACCTTATCAAAAATCAACCAAGGATCGTATTCTTGCTTTTGCAGAGACAGTAGGCAAGCGTATTAAAATCAAACGTATTGAACTGCAGCGACTTGAATGCTATCGAGATTACCTTGAAGCAGAATTGAATTGGCATCCATCAGCAAGTCAACAGCAGCAGAGAAAGATGTCTTTACCTTTACCTTCTCATTTATGTTCCTTGGTCTCTTTACCAACCGCCAAAAAACTATCTCATCTTGCATTTGAAGAAGAAGAAGAAGAAGAAGAAGAAGAAAATGAAGAAAAAAAGGCGGAAGAAGATAATCTACCTGTCAAGGTAGAAGATAAGAAAGATTTGGACCGTGTCATGCGTCGAAGAAGTCAAAGTAATCCTGTGAGACCCATGGATAAGAAACTATTGCTACTAGAACCACCCAAACCCCATGGTAGACAAAGAAGTGGGTCAGAAGCATCTTCTGTAGGAGGAGATGATGATAATATGAGTGTGATTATTGTCAATGATTCTGAAGAATTATTAACAGAATCATGGCCACCAGCAGAATAATAATATTTTTTTTTTTATGTATTTATATTTATTATGCTTACATTATCTGAACGTATTCAACAATTACAAACCTATCTTAGTTATTACTATATTGACTTTGATACACCTACTGAGCGACTTCAGTCTCTTTATTCAGACTTTGCTAAACTCAAGTTACTTAATGAGTATGGTTATAAAGCAAATGTCAACTATTGGCGTACCATCTTACTTGATTGTAATCTCCATGGTTATCTCAATACAGGAGACCATGTCTGTATGATCCATCAAAGTGAATTACCCGAGTTATTCTATCAATCCAAGCTGGACAAACCTTTATGCCTTGATACTGTGATTGTAAGTATTGAGGTTAATGTATAGCATCTCATTCGATCGATAGGAAGACATGAGAAAGGACACCAAATACCTCTTGACTCAAAAAGAATATGAACATACATACCCTGTCACAACCACCAATCCCTCCAGTCTCAACTGGTTGCGATGGTTTGTTGACTGGATCTTACCCTCAACACCTTCTGATGTGTATATTGTGATGCCTACCATTGATGAATATGCCAAAATCATGGTTCAACAACACTACAAGAAACCACTCTGTAGTGCCTTGGACAACTTGTTTACATGGGATGAATTTAAAGCACAGTATCGAGCTATCCCCTGTTATCAAGAGACATGCGTCCAATTGAGTGATATGGACTTGTGGTTTGTTTTACGTTATTTAGTGCATCATTATGGTGTCGCTGTTCAAGATACATTCAAAACATTTGGACACCAAAGCACAGTCATTAAATTCCCAGAGCGTACTGAATCAGAACGGACTAAGGCAGTCATCAGTCAAGAAGATAAAGCAATCGTGAGTCTCAAGGCAGCCTGTACTGCTTTGCATTATCAAGTAGATCAATTAGAGATCAAAGCACAAGAGTAAGTGAGATGGTGTTCAACCACTGACTCAAGTCATCTAGATTCCTTCAAGTTGCTCAACAGCATTACACATTCCATCGAAAACCACAAGCCATGTTCATGTTGCGTAAAAAGAAACAAATTGAGCATTTGCTGGAACAACGTTACAAGACTTTGGATACAATGGAGACTGTCTTGTTGAAGATTGAAGCCTCTCAAAATGATCTTTATATGGTACAGGCATTTAACTTGGGCACAGAGACATTAAGAAAGATGCTGGCTCATCATTCATTTGATAAAATACAAGAGACCATGGATGAATTACAAGAAGCTCTAGATGACCATGAACAAGTAGAACATGCATTGACACAGGGTCATCACGTGATTGTAGACCAGGATGAACAAGCACTAGAAGAACAACTTGAGTCACTTGCATTGGAAGAACAAGCATTGACACAGCCTATTGATACTCAATCTGAATTAATGCGTCTTCAACAAGTATTGTCTTCTTTAAATGTACCTTCACATACTACAAAGCAAAAGCAAGCTCAATTAGCATAAGTACCACGTCATTTTGAGTTGCGACTATTTATTTTATTTTTTTCAATAAAAAGCCTCCCCCCTTTTTTTTCCTATCAACATGTCATATTACGGAGACAGAGATCGTGGTGATCGTGAAAGAGGTGGAGATCGAGCAAGACCCAATCCTTGTCGACTTTATGTGGGTAAGTAGGAAACGCGATGCTATAGACAAATAGATATTCATATTCTCTTTAGGCAATATCAATCGCTATGTACGCGAACAAGACTTGAAAGATATTTTTTCTAGATATGGTAGAATCAGAGACTTTATCTTGAGAGTAAGTAGATTGAGTTTGTGGTCATCATCTTACTGATGGTTTATGATAGGACTATTATGCTTTTATTGAATTCGATGTATGTATACGGATTGATCTGTTTGGAGACAATGCTCCTTTGTATTTGAAATGTTGTTAATTGTACTTTTTTATATTTTTTTGTCTATTTACTTTATCCTACAAAGACTGCTAGAGGTAATATTGTCTATTTTACTGTTATCAAACTCATGGTTATCAATAGAGGCTGATGATGCTGCTAAGGAATTGAATGGCTACAGACTTGAAGATGACAGACTGGTTGTCCAGGTTGCTAATGTTGCTCGTAACCGTCTTGAACCCCGCGACCGTGATAGTCGTCGTGAACGTGAGCGTGGTCGTGAGCGTGAGCGTGATTACAGATCAGACAGAGGTAGAAGAGATGCACCTGCTACTGATGGTAACGACAGATGCTACAACTGTGGTGAATTTGGTAAGTTTTTTTTTTTTTTTTTTTTTTTTTTTTTATTGTCCCTTTGACTCATCATTTTCCTTTTAGGACACATGTAAGCTATTATGCCCTCTTTGCATCGATTTACTAACCTTCTTTTTTTTTTTACGCGTTTTTTTTAGTGCAAATGAATGGTAAGTAAATTGATACATACAACATAGACTAACCATATTGATAGTTCTTTGCCCAAAGGAAGGTATTGTATTTAATTTGATTTGATTCTTGTAGAGTGCTTATATGTGTTTATGTAGTGGTGAGCGTGCGATGAGATTCCAAAAGGGTTGTTGTTTGTAAGTAGGCTGCATAAACTTGAGTACAAACAAATTAAACTTTATTTTTCATTGTAGTGAATGTGGTCAATCTGGCCATCGAGCCCGTGATTGCCCGTAAGTCAATAAGGAAAGGATGATTATGTATTCATATTGATGATAGTGAAAAAGGCAATGGTGGAAATTCATCTAGAAGACGCCGATCCCGCTCTGACTCTCGTTCCCGTTCTCCTAGACGCTCTCGCAGCCCTGCTAGACGTTCTCGTTCTCCCAGACGCTCTCGAAGCCCTGCCAGACGTTCTCGTAATGACAGACGCTCTCGTAGTCCAAGAAGACGTTCCCCAAGCCCTCGTCGTGGACGTCGTTCCGACAGCCGTTCTGTTAGTCCTCGTCGTAGATCCCCAAGCCCTAAGCGTACGTCCAATGACAGTTCCAACGAAGACACCAGAATGGACTAAATCCTTTGCTTTTAATAAACGAGTTGTACATGCATGACGGTGTTTTTTTTAGTCCGAAATTCAAAAACGTAATGATGATAAAGACGTGTCTTGTTTTTTTTTTTTTTTCAACTTAACATGCCCATTGTCTATTCTTTTACTAACGGAGACGCTTTATCAAACGGTCTCAATAGTTTTGTTGAAAAGGTTTCTCGTGAAGCTATTGCTGATCATGGTCATGTCTCGATTGCCATTTCTGGTGGTTCTTTACCCAAGATTCTCTCTAAAGAACTCGCGTTCAATAAAAACGTTGACTTTAGCAAGTGGCATGTCTTTTGGGCTGATGAACGCTGTGTAGCTCATGACAGTCCTGACTCTAACTACCTCGAAGTCAAGAAATCCCTTTTTGATCATATTCCTCAAATTCCTCAAGACAACATTTATCCTATCCATGAAAAGTATGCTATTGCCAAAGATGCTGAGCATGCTGCTCAAGACTATGAAGAACAACTTAAAAAGTTCTTCAAGCACGAATTGCCTTCTTTTGATCTCGTCTTGTTAGGCATGGGTCCTGATGGTCACTGTTGCTCGTTGTTCCCCGGTCATCCTTTGTTGGAAGAAACCCAACGTTGGGTTGCACCTATTGTTGACTCCCCAAGCCTCCACCAGAGCGTATTACTTTGACTTATCCTGTTGTCAACAACGCCAAATTGGTCGTATTTGTGACTGCAGGTGATGGTAAGAAGGACATGGTGCAACAGATCATTGAACAGCCTGAAAAGAACTTGCCTTGTCAGCGTGTTAAGCCTGCTCATGGTGGCAAAGTTTATTGGTTTATTGACGATGCTGCTGCTTCTAAATTAAGAAAAGAATCGTGTTCAGAATATAAGTTGTAAATAGACATGCAAAACAATAAAGTATAAATTTCGTACGTTTATGCGACTGAAAAAAAGAAGTTGCGTAGAATGAAGGAGAAATTGAGAGGGTGATACAAAAAGACTAAAGCACAGATCTCGAAGTATATATATGTTGAATGACAGGCCAAAAAAAAAAAAGGTAAATTGTTTGCTTTAACCAAATATATCCAAAAATAGGGTCAACCTATTAAACAAAAGTAAAATGATATGATAAAGATCGACATTTGGCTTAGAAAACTTTCTTTTTCATATTTCAAACATGAAATGGAAGTAATGGAACATACCGCAATTATACTTTCATACATGTATCTTTTAAAGTTACGGTAAAGAACTAAAGTTTATACACGTGGAGTATCACTTTTTTCTCCTATATTCAAACACTGTATGCAAACTTCACTATGCTATCCAGATTTCCCCTTTTCTCTCTTTTATGCGGTCCCCTTTTGCTCCTTTATGCACTCTCTTTTTTTATTTTTTATTCGTCAGTTCCAATCATATTAATTGTCTTCTTTAAGTCTGGATTTTTACATTCTTGTAAACAAAAGGAGATCAAGAACCAAAAGGAGGTCAAAATAACTCCTCACTCTTTACGAATTGAGTATATATATAATGGACTTGATCTTGTCCAATTTTTTTTCATTATCAATATATTCGATAAATGGCACGTCTTACTAAAATCTGCATTTTTACTCTCGCTTTGATGGTAGTTGCTACTTCTGCTGCCCCTTGTCATGATGGTAGTGACGTTGGTCATCACCACGGTGGCGATCACCACGGTTCTGTTGGACACCACCATTCCGACGACGATGATGATGAATGGGATAATGATAGCTGGGGTGGTGATGATAGTGACAATGACTTTGACGATGATGAAGATTGGGACCATGAAGGTGGCTGTGGCTCTCATCACTCTGGCTGCGGTGGCGGTAGCGGCAATGGCGGCAATGGCGGCAATGGCGGCAACGGTGGTCACGGCGGTAATGGAGGCAATGGTGGTCACGGCGGCAACGGCGGCAACGGTGGTAATGGCGGACATGGCGGTCATGGCGGACATGGTGGCAACGGACACGACGGTGACAATGGCCATGACGGTGACCATGGTGACCACGGCGACCACGGCGACCACGGCGACCACGGCGACCACGGCGACCACGGAGACCACGGAGACCACGGCGATCACGGTGATAATGGCCATGGCGGACACAACGGTGGTGATGGTGATAACGGTCATGGTGGTCATGGCGGACACAACGGTGGTGATGGTGATAACGGTCATGGTGGTCATGGTGGTGACAATGGTAACGGTGGTGACAATGGCAACGGTGGTGACAATGGCAACGGTGGTGACAATGGTAACGGTGGTGACAATGGCAACGGTGGTAACGGTGGTGACAATGGCAACGGTGGTGACAATGGTAACGGTGGTGACAATGGCAACGGTGGTAACGGTGGTGACAATGGCAACGGTGGTGACAATGGTAACGGTGGTGACAATGGCAACGGTGGTAACGGTGGTGACAATGGCAACGGTGGTAACGGTGGTAACGGCGGCAGCGGTGATGATTGCTCTGGCCCTGATGTTGATGGAAACCTCATTGGTGTTGGTGCCAAATGTATTCTCAACAATCTTCATGTCGAAGACGTTGCTAAGAACATTGATATTGCCAAGAACATCGATGCCAAGGGACTTATCAGCGACAACGATGTCCAAGTTCTTTAAGTTCGTTAATCTATTGATACAACAGTTCATCTCATTCGCATTATACATTCATAACAAACTACTTCATCTTTCATGCATGAACTTCATTTTCATTCATACAAAACTTTTATATCATTTCTCTTCTAATAAAATAATTTTGTTATAATCTTTCTTATCCTGACATTGTTACTCCTGACAGGACATAGACACTCCTTTTTTAGGTCTTCATCCAGGTGAATTGATTGCATGTCTCCTATATATAATAAAAAGCACGTGCTTTTTTGACGTATAATTATTGCAGTATTTTTTTCTTCTTCAAGACAGTAAGAATGCTGATCAAGTGTCAAATGTAAGCAACTGCCTCTATGTTTGTTTATGGGACGCATACATATGCATCAAATCACTTCTTTCATTTTTTAATATGGACTTAAAAGAGAAATGACACCACTTGCCGTCACCGGTAGTAGTTAAAAATAAAATTTTATAAGGAACTTTTTGTTATGAGCGTAAGTCATAGAGGATTCGAAAATACTTGGGGCAGATTCAGATGTATAAATGCCCTCGTATGCTAGAGCTGTAATTGAATAATTAAGCTCCTTTACAGTAATTGCTAACGTTATATGTACATAAAATCCATGAAAACCATGCTTTCGATATATATTTATCTTAGTCTGGTTTTTATAAAAAAAAAGTAAATGGGATCATCACGCTAGATGCATACACTCATCACTTTTAGGCATCAGTAAGTCCTTTTTTATATGAATGGGCCTTCAAGTAAAAACATTAATACTGAATTGAAATGCTGCAAAAACATACACACACATACATATATATACGTATGCCTTTCTGTAGTAGTATTTTCTCAATAACTTTGTATGAGTTATATATTCTTTTCTTCATTTACTATTTATAAACTGTACACGATGTTGATATGCATGCAGTAGGATATTGCTTCTTCTCAGACTTTATTTTATATGCATAAAAAAAATACACACACGGCTTCTCTCTAATTTTCCTGTTCCCTCCTTTTTTCGGGATAATTGGAGACCACAGAGTACTTGATGATGAGAAGTACTTGAAAAACCGTTATCATTTTTAAAAATCTTTTTTAAAAAAAGTTAATATACAGGTCTGGTAAAGATATTTTTCTTTTCTTTCAGTTTGATGTTACTGTTCGTTTCTTTTTTCTTTTTAATAAACCTGTACAAAATAAAAGGCTAAAAGGCAATAGAATATTTCTTTTGTTGTAAATGTTAAGGGTCAAATTTATTTTGTAAAGAATGTTAGAGCTGTTTTCTATTTTTTTTCGGCATAATCATAGTCATAAAGCACAATAGCTGACAAGGCTATACAATATGCATTCTTGGATCTACTTCCAAGCCATTATTTACGCTAGATAATTGCAATAGCTTATGTTCTTTTTGTCTTTTCTTTAGGCACTGATACATGTGTCACTCAGAAAAAAATTAAGGTGAAGGAGAAATTATTGATTTCTTTCATATGCTCTGCAAGTGTTTGATTACAATTATGGCTATAATGTCCATCACTCACTGAGTATGATTTCTACGTAGCCAATAAACCTAAATGAATATTTTCCTACTGAGAAAACTGACATTCTTGTTCTCAATCAAACACATTTAAAACAAAAGACTGTTGTCTATAGTTGTACAACTACCTATCTAAAGTTGGATGATGAGAAAATGAAACATTTAAAAAGAACAAATCAAGACAATTACATTTGTTTTAATAGTAACCCTTTGTCATTGAATCAACTTCTAAAGTGGATATGATAAAGAACAAGTGACCTTTCCAAGAAAGGGATATACGTTTTTTTTTTTATTAAAAACTCGAGGTTTGCGCAAACATGTTATTCTGGATTTGCCAAGAAAAAACTGCATTTTGTGTTAGTATGATCTTGAAAGGTTTGTTTGTATTCTCCTTAAAGTTATTTAATTTAATGACCAGGTCTTGCATCAGAACCCTTATTAAAGTGTTCTTGTGTTAGCTATCTTCATTGGTAGAAACTATACTTTAGAATAGCCTATTTATTTTGTGTTTCTTCACCAAATATTAAAACTAGAGGGTCAAGATCTAGATGCTTATCTGGCCTTTTTCTCAATTGTCAGTTATCTTTTGCATTTAAGATACATCTTTCAAGCCTGTGCATCTTTGTGTAGTACTCAGTGAATCTTGCCTTATTTTGTACTCTATAACATGATAAATTGTAATACAGTATTATCTAGACTGTAATTAATCAAAAAATAAAATAAAATACAAAGACACTGCATACACAGCCCCCATTTATCATGTTACTTTCGAAGTTAATTATCAAGTTTCTTTGTTCGAGGAAACCAAAAATTTCCCTCTTTTTACAACAAGAACATAGGTGTATGATAAGTACTGTGTCAATGTACTAAACCAGAAAGAAAGAAAAAGTTTAAATTAAAGTCTAAAAAGAAAATTGAAGTGGTTAATACATATTGTTTTCCATGCACTGATGTCCGTTTTGTTTGTTAAATGAACAATCAAAAACAGTAATGTTAGTCAAAATTTAAGACCAAGTGCATTTCAAGGAGCTATTCTTTTTCTATATTTTGCTTGGTTCTAATTGTCTAAAGAGATAAAGCTTCTTCAATTGCATTAGTATACTTTTTTAAATTCGAGAAAATACAGAAACTTTGGTAGCACAACATTTCAAGCTTCAATTTTGTTTATCATTTAAAATTAAAATGTTTGTCCTACTTCAAAAAATTAAGGAGTTGTTTATTGTGCAAAGATTAAGGGTATTATCCTACGAGACACCAGAATATTCAAACAGTTTCACTTGTGTATTGTCCTCTTTCAAGGTCATTTGAATAAAAGTCATCAATAGCTCGTTTTTGAAGAATGAATTATTTCTGACTTCCTTAATCAGATTGGGATGTAGGTGTACATCAACATAACGGTGTGTATGCATAATTTTACCAGAAAATGTAGACACAACAAATTCTTTTAGAGGCTCTATCAGCAACCAGATATGATCAAGTTCTGTTAGATACTTAACAAATAATTTGAATATACTATTTCTAAATGTTGAATAGACTGAGCAAAATGCTTGCCAGCCTGTAGTAAACCGGAACCAACGCTAAAAGCAACTCAAAGCATGCACTACCGCGAAAAAAAAAAGAAAGCATGATGCTCTAAACTTGACGTCAAATGCACCAAGCTAAATATGGAACTGCTTGGTGCATTTGAGACAGGGATTTTCAATTAAATGACTACAAAAAAAAGCACTATGTACACTCATGAATAAAGAAAAACATTTTATTGTTTTTATTTAACATTCCATTATCACACAATCACTCATAGACATATATCGCAAACCCGCTTTCCCATTTTTGACACAACTTGGCGTTTAAAAACCCCAACTTAGACGCTCAGATACTAAGAAGCACAAGGAACTACTTGGTGCGTTACACTTATGTTAGAGCAATATTACAAAAGTCTAACGTTAATGCTGTTAAAAAGTCAAAAATAAACTTTATCATCAAGCATGTACCTAACCTGTTGCAAAGCATCATGTCTGCGTATTCCTGTCATATGTTTGTTCCTTGGGATACACCTTCCGAAGTGTACGATGAATCAAAAAAGAAGAAGCGTCTTGATTTGGCGATGTGTTTGCTTGATGGTGTGGAGATTGACTGTGGAGAAATAAAGTTACCAGATGCAAAGGCTGACGATGTGCAAGAAGATTGTTGTCGAGTACCAGAACACTTAAAAAAGATACTGCATAGGCGAATACAGGTTGTTTCGGAGGGCTGTTTGTTTTCGAAGAAGTTGAATTGAGCATGATGGAGTTCAAAAAAGAACTTTATGAATACTCCATAATCAACAAGCTCGAGTTACCTACAATGTTATCTACTTGTGATTACATGAATGAATCTCTTGAGTTTCTATTGGAGTTTTTTGATTTAATTAAAAGCACCATAGTTGCAAAAAACAATTCTGTAAATTCATTGGCTTTTTCAAAATACAAAAGTTTATTAAAGCCAACCATTTCTTTCTGTTGAATTTATTTGATTTGTAACAAGAGAGGTATTTCGGCAATTGAAGTCGCCTAAAGCAACGGCTGGAAATGAATTAAGTTATGTTTTTGGGGAAATAGTATATTCGGTTTTGGCCAGGCAAAGATTGAATGTATACAGCTGAGTAACATATGTCAAGACTTCAAGCGGAAGTGGTCTTAAATGAGTGTGTCGGCCCTTTGTAGGTTTAGAAATTACAAGTGTTCATATAGCCTGTAATCGGATTACATTGGATTCGGAAGAAAGCGTGCATAAAAGTTATGAAGGCTGGGTTTGTTTATGACAGACAGACGTAACCATATATGAGCATCAATGTTTCAAGAAGAATTATGTCAGCATTTCTTCAAATGCTGCATAAAACTCACCACAGAAGACCTGTTTGCAATCGAATACCAACGTCAAGATACCTTGATTAAGGCATGAAGGGTCCATGGATATCCGCCACATAATTAAAAAATGAGTTCTAAGCAATCATCACTTAGTTTTAATATGGGTGAAACATACTAAAACGAAAATAACAAAGACTATGACTAAGAAGAAAAAAAAATCGCGTTTTGAATTGAATATTATTAATTTGTAGAAGTTTCGAGATTATTTCTCCTCTATTTCCTCACTATATCATTCTTTTTTCTCTCTCTTTTTCAATTCTTTATGCGCTATTCGACTCATTCCTTATTGGCGCATAAGCACAAGTGTAAAGGATTTTAATATATGAAGCTTAATTACGCAGAAAAAAAAATATGCTTATTAATAGTTTCTGTCAAAAAAAAAAAAAGCTAAATGTCCGCTTTGCCTAAATTAAATCATCGTTTATAAAAGCTCGTCTGTTTGTTTTTCATTTTTTTATCTTCTTCTTCGTCTTATTAATAATTAACCAAAGATGGTCTCCAACAAGCAAGTTGTTTTCGCTAAGGTCCCTGCTGACTATCCCGTCGCTGGTGAACATATGCAAATTAGAGAATCTACTATTGATTTGGATGCTGAACTCGCCAAGGGTGAATTTATCCTCAAGACACTCGAAATCAGTGTTGACCCATACATGCGTGGTCGTATGAGAGACCCTAACATCAAGAGCTATGCTCCTGCTTTTGATTTGGATGCTCCCATGACTGGTGACACTATGTCTGTTGTTGTCCGCTCCAATCATCCTGATTACAAAGTAGATGATTTGGTCTATGGTCGTACTGCTCGTGGTCGTTTTGAAGAATACGTCAAGGTAGATGCTGAATATGCCAAGTCTTCTTATGTTGTCCGTAACGATGCTAAGCAAAACGGTCTTCCTTTGAGCCATTATGTCGGTGTTCTTGCTATGCCTGGTATGACTGCTTACTATGGTCTCCATGAAGTCGGTAAGCCTAAGAAGGGTGAAACTATCTACGTTTCTGCTGCTGCTGGTGCAGTTGGTCAAATCGTTGGCCAAATTGGTAAGGCTCTTGGCTGTTACGTTGTTGGTTCCGCTGGCTCTGACGATAAGGTCGAATACCTCAAGACAATTGGGTTTGATGATGCCTTCAACTACAAGAATGGCGATATTGAAGAACTCTTGAAAAAGCACTGTCCCAATGGTATTGATGTCTATTATGAAAATGTGGGTGGTAAGATGCTTGATGCTGTTTTGAAGGTCGCCAATAACTTTGCTCGTATCATTGCTTGTGGTATGATTTCTCAATACAACCTTACTAAGCCTGAACCCATCTACAACACGATGTACATTGTTGCCAAGCGTATCAAGTTTGATGGCTTCATTATCATGGATCACATGGACTTTGAAGAGAAGTTCCTTCAAGATGTCACTCCTTTGTTAGCTAATGGTCAAATCAAATACCGTGAAGATATTGTGAAGGGTATTGAAAACACTCCTGAAGCTTTGATCAGTGTTCTTAGGGGAAAGAACTTTGGCAAGATGGTTGTCCATGTTGCTGATTTGTAAATATATTGCTTAATATTATAAATAAAATAGAATGTGTTATCGAGAATTGGTCTACTTTTTAGTGATAAAAATAATGGAATAAGTGAGTGTCGTCATGGATTGATGAGAGTCTAGCAAAGAAGTTTGATAAAATGTATCATTTTAATACATTTGGTATATACTATTCCTCGAAACTATTGGCACATCTAGAAATAAAAATTGGTGCACTTTTTTCTTGTGATTTAGCACACTTTTAATTTTAAGTTCAGCACAAATAAAAAAATATTTTGGCACAGGTTATTTGGCACAAAGTGTGCCAAACTTAAAGAGGTTCTTTCTTGAGACAAGTTTCAAATTTTAAAGCTGAATACCTGCAAAAGCCTTTCAGATCGCTAAAGCGAATATCGTTGGAAGCATCCGATATTCTACTGGTGAATGTCTCATTGTCTAAAAGACGCTCTCTTTTCAACTTGCTCTTGAAAATTGACCAAAATTGTTCAATTGGATTGAGTTCAGGAGAGTAAGGTGGAAGATAAACACAACCATAGCCACGACTCTCAATATACTTTCGGATGTCATCCGCTGTATGAATTGGAGCATTGTCCATTATAATATAATGGCCTTTGAATTCTTCGTGCTTATCCAAAATGTCAAGAGTGCAGACAATGAAATTAAAATAATGGCCAGTAATCGTACCAATCGTCTTTTGGGCCTTCGAATTGTTTGCTTTTCTTTTCTTTGAAGGCGCTACTGGCCTTCTCATTTGAATATTAACAACGCCAAAAGGTGGAATAGCACCCAGAATCGTTGTTGTTTTTGCTCTTGTTGTTGGTTGAACAACTTCTGCACGAGTCCCTTTCTTTGACCAGGCCATCGTTCTTTTCAAGTTGATATGAAATGCTGACTCGTCAACGAAAACACAATTACTTTGGAAGTCCAGATCAGTTTCAATCCATCTCTGGACCCATTCGTAACGCTTGAGAATGCTTGAGGGTGAGTTCCTTTCTTTTGAATGAAAATAAGCTTTCTTAAATGACAAAGCGCACTTCTCAGTCATGAATCTATGGATTGAAGTCTTAGAGACTTTCAAATCTTTAAATTCATTTATTAGACTCTCCATAGCCTGATCTAAGGTTGCTGAAGGGAAATCCATAAACTCTTTTTCTAATAATCGCTGGTGCTCTCTGTTGAAATTGCTTGGCCGACCTGTCTTAGATTTGATTTTCTCTTTTCCATCACTCTGCTCCTTCTGGTCTTTCTCAAACCAGTTGTAAGCAGTACGTCGAGCGATATTAAGCTGCGTGGCTACTTTACCAGGTGTCAGGCCTTTTTCATAGACTAGGTGGAAGAATCGCTCCTTGACATCTCTACTGTGCTTAACATACGATCCTTTGCCAGAAGTTTCTGTTGCCTGAATTTTTTTTGTTCCTCTCACTTTACTGCTTCGCGCTCAGGGGGTTTTAGATCTAAGTATTGATCGAAGTTGGTGACGTTGTCTAAAGGACATTGTTCTTCATCGATCTCCATTTCAATAGGCTCGTTTCCAAACTCATCAACAACATCGCCTCTTCCATTTTCATAGTATACTTAAAAAATGTGCCGAAACTTGAAGTAGAAACATGCCAAAATATTTTTTTATTTGTACTGAAAAAGTGCCAATAGTTCCGGGGAATAGTGTATGCCTCCACTTTCAAAAGATTGAGAAAAAAGTTTGAATTTTAAACGCAAATCACTGCATCATGTTCAAACCTGCTCATTTGGGACTCAAAAATATCGAGTGTTATAGTATTTTTTATCCGCACAAGCCTGCCGCATCAAAAGATACCAAAATAAGTATACATCTACTATCAAGTATCTTAAAAAAAAAGGCTACTTTAGTACTAACTACAGTGCACAATGAAATTTGAATGCAGATTCGAAGCCAATGTCCATATTAAGTCGATGATTTCGTCTTAGTAAACTCGTTTTCTTTTCTCCAAAAGCACCTAGACATGGCCTTACCTGATTTCGGTGGGATCAGACATGTAATCCATGCGTGTAAAGGCAGGATTTATGCTACCTTTATAGGCCTAAGAAAAACGCAAAGATATACATGAAATGTTATCTTTTTTTTCACTCTGGAAGCATTTATCTTCCTGCTGTCTTGATTGTGCGAATAACCAATGTATTATTAAGATAAAGCAACTTGTTAACACACATAATTGATCCATTGATCTGGTGAGTCGAGTGAGTTTGATGAACTGGGTTTAGTGTAAAGTAGTTGCTGTAAGCGCTTCAGCAGGCATTAAAGTACATTAGCTCTTTTCACTTTATTCTCTATTGTTTCTCTTAGTCTAATTAGACTCTCACTATATTGTCAACAATGCGATGCATTACTGTTATTCATTCAGTATCTACTTTTTTTTTAGTAGTTTTATCTAGAAGCAAGCATTACTAGCTAAAAGAAAAAAAAATGACAATTTATCATGTTCAAATCATTATTGTTTATTTTAATGGAAAGGGTATCATTGCTTGTCTAATGACTGTATTTCTTTGTCTACGCGTTGTTGGTAATCATCGCCTTTTAATGTTTCTAGAATATCTTGGTGTATCTGGTGAAAAATACCTTCTCTTTATCACATGTAAGTAACACCATAAAATCAATACGACTTACTTTTCTAGTTCTGACATCACTTGTTCGTGAAATAAGAATGGTTCCTTGTCCAGTAGACTGGGATCTTTATTGACCATATCTTCCATAAAGTGTTTAAGATCGTCCAAGAGCTTTTGTCCAGCAAACTATAAGCAAGTCAGTACTAACTGTCTTTTTTGTTTTGTTTTGGCTTACTTGGGACTGGAAGTCTGAAAGTAGCTTCTTTCTCAACTCGTCAAAAGTACCGTTTTTCTTTAGTTGTAATACGGCTTCTTCTGGTGTCATGATTGAAATAAAGAACAAAAAATCCTGGTATCCACAGTCATGGTCAAGGATAGCGGGAAAACTGTAACACCGGTCCATATTTTTTTTTTTTTTTTTTTTTTTTTTTTACTTGTTATAAAATACGTCTTTTATTATTATTTATCTTTCTTTATCATTTAGTTATGTCAGACCCTTCTCAATGGCAAACCTCTTCACCGTCTGATCAACAACACTATGTTGACATGAATCAACACTATTTATACAATCGATCGTTTCCTTTACAACTTCGACCACTTCAACCTAATCCGAATCCTACAAGAGAACATAATTTTTATCCTTTCTCAGTTGGCAGTACGACAGAAACAGAAAAAAATAAAGAAGGCAAGCGTATACGTGTTAGTCGTGCATGGTATGTCGTTTTTTTTTTATTGAACACAAAAAGGAAATAACGTTATCATTCAGTGATGTATGTCGACGTAGAAAAATCAAATGCGAGAACATTGCACCTGGAGAAGCATGTAAAAACTGTAAAGCATCCAACAATGAATGTACATTTAAAGACAGGTAAATAACAATATTAATAACAATAATAATAATGATAATGATAATAATAAACATGTATCATTTATTTGATAACAGTGCAAAAAAGCGAGGACCACCTAAAGGGTAATGAAGGTTTTTTTTAATTATAGATATACATTCAATTAACAGAGTAAAGCGTTTAGATACATTGAAGTATTAGAGAATCGCTTAAAGAGAATGGAGAAATTGTTGGGTGGATTGACAGATGAATTTGATGAAGAAAAAGAGGAAGAAAATATACCATCTAAAAGAATCAAGACGGAGGAAGAGAATTGCCGAAATCAAGAAGTTACACAAGCTCTTGAACACGACGATGTAACATTGCCTGTCAACAGCGGCGCCTTGACCGATTCGCCAAAAAAGGATCCAGAACAATTGACATATGAACTGTCGTCGCTGAACACAGGGCTTAATGCACGTTACATTGGTGACATGAGTCCATTGCCTTTGTTAGCCCAAAAGATCAATTTTGAAGATGCTCGTATTGCTTCCAAGATTGGATTCAAAATAAGAAGATTTGGTCAAAGTTTTGTTATTTATGAGAAAGACGACAAAAAAGACAAACACCATAGCATGCATCTCTTAGAGAGAATGGGAAAATTAAGGCCAGGCGAAACAATCAAAAGTCTAAATGACTGGATTTATAAAGTGACTGGCCTAGACAAAAGAACAAGTGATGCATTAATGAAAATGTAAGTAGAACTTTCATGATCTTGGCTTACCAGAACAATAGCTATTTTGCTTATATTCATCCTGGTTTACCTGTGATCAACAAGCAGCTCTTTTTGAAGCAATATCGTGGGCAAGTTGTTGGATATCCCTCAGCACCACTATTGAATGCTATCTATGGTGCTTCTGTGCGGTACATAAATACATGCAGAACCTTTGGTGATGAACTATCTTTTGATCATCCTATTGAGACTAAAAAAAACTGGTCTGAATACCTATTTGAAAATGTATTTGCTTATATTCGAGGCAAGTATTATCCTTGTTTGCCTACTGTTCAGGCTGTGGTGATTGTTCAGAATCATCTTGCCAGTCTAGATGAAAAAGTAGCAGGCACCTGGCTACTTGCTTCGGGTGCCACTCGGGCAGCTCAAGATTTAGGTCTGCATCGATCCAGCGAATGTTGGGATCTACCTACAAGTGAGAAAGAAACAAGAAGAAGAGTATGGTCTGCTGTTTATATTATGGATAAATGGTCAGCAGCAGCCACAGGAAGACCACAGACTATTTTTGATGAAGATTGCGATGAAATCTATCCAAGTGAAAGTGCAGACTGGGACGAAATCATGGATGTAAAGCATGAAAATGATGATGATGGACCAAGATTTCCTTCTTTAGATGAAAAAGTAGCACAGAAAGCAAATCGTGGCACAATTCCTATCTATCAACCCTTTGTACAGCTTGTCAAACTATCAGAAATTTTGGGGAAACTGTTAAAAGGTTTGTATACACCACTTGCTAAAAAGCATAGTGAAAAGCATGGTAGTGATGCCATCGTTACCTATCTTGATAATGCATTGTCTGAATGGAGAACTGCTTTACCACCTGCTCTGCAAATTTCTTCTAGAAATGTACACCGATTGAACAATCGTGGCCAAACACCCTTGATTTCCATGTCAGGTAAACAGAGTTAAGTAGGTACATTGGCTCATTCTCTTTCTAGGACTAATGTATTTAGCCTATTGTACATTGCTTATACTACTTCATCGACCATTTATTGAAAAAGAAGGCAGTCAAAAGACCCGTTCTGCACAAACATCGTTTAGTATCTGTACAAGTGCAGCTACTCAGTGTGTTGAAATTGTAGAAAAAATGCATTACAGAGACTTTTTGCTTGTTTCTTGGAACTTTTCTATTTATCCTTTATTTACAGCCATTTTGATCCATATTAACAATGCTTCTCATGCAGACAGTATTGTATCTGATGTTGCAAAATCCCACCTTATTCGAGCCAATGATGTACTGAAGCGACTCTCAAGACTGTCATCAGGTGTAGATCAACTGTCGAATATCATTCATCAATTGATCATTGACCGAGACATCACACTTGAAAAGCTTGTGCTTGAATGCGATACTAAATCAAAGAAGCAAGCCAAATCAAAAAAGACAGTGAATGAAGTCGAAGAAACAGCTTCACCTGCGTTTGTTAGTTCTGATTCTGAAGCCATTCCTAGTTGTCAGTCTACACCTAATTCATTGACCAATGACGATTGGATCAATGGGCTCTATTCTTCTCTACAGACAGAGACAATAGTAACATGTAAGTTCCTTTGTTTATTTCTTTTTTATCTTATGCATCCCATAGCTTCTGAGACTCAGCCATCACCCATGAATACCAATACAAATCTGGTTGAATCGTTGCCTTATTCACTAAGACAATTTGGTATCTATACAGACCAAACGTACTCACCTCACAATCAATCACGACAGCTTCATGTACCATGTCAAGCCAACATGAATGATGGTACACAGCCTCAAATGATGATGAATCCTGCAGACAGTGTCTTATTTGGTATATCAGATGTAGGATTCTCTACATCACTTAATATGCAGCCATACATGCAATCCAATGTTGAACCCACTTTGAGCAATGACTATCCAACTCAGCTTAATAATCTGATTGATAATAGCAGTGTCTTTAGACATCGACCTGAAAATCCATTTTGGTCTATGCCCAGTAGTATGGAGTTAAATGATTGGGCAGCTTATTTCTTACCTCAACAACAACAACAGCAACAGCAACAACAACAACAACAACAACAACAGCAACAACAGTCAACATCATGGCATAATAATCTTCATTATTAATAATAATAAATTGGTGTATTTGATGACAAATACTTTATGGACAAAAGTAGAAAAAAGATGTATGTAAAAGAAAATTACGTGTATTCAGGTGCTGCATTTGGAGTTGTACAAATGCAAGTGTATTATAGATGCATTGTGTAAGGGAATTACATAAGTTTACGCAATTTCACTTGCTTCTAATTTAGCATGATCCACTTCACTGGTATCGTTCAATTCTTCTTGGCTTACTGCTCTGCCTGATTTACGAGCAATAAAGTCACGGAACCAATGAATGAGGCATTGGAAGAAATAGCCAACAACACAGATAATACCGACTAAAATGTACCACAATGCTGCCTTTCCGCCTTGACTCCAGTCTAAAAAGCCATAGATCCAATAGCCATTACTATCCTAAAGTGTGAGAGAGCAAGCTATTTGAATTTGATGTAGTATTACCAAGCATAAACAATGAATGCCAAGAACATAAATAAAATGATAGTGATCAAAGGGAAAACGACCATGCGAATAGGTGTCTTCATGCGGTTCATGATCACATCGAAAATCATCAAGAAGAAAGAAACAGCATGGACAGACACATTAAGCCAAACAGTAACGGTGGTATCTACCACAAGACAAGCGTGTTATTGCACTAGACAACATGATCATGAACTTACTCGCAGTACTGCTTCCATACAGCAAAGACCAATAAACAACAGGTGTGACAATACTGGCACATTATTCTTGTTAGTGCATGACTTGCATACATGATATGACTTACTTGAATGTAATGACAGTTGAATAAAGGTACATATACATGTAGTTCAGAACAGCAGGTTGGTTTAACATGAAATCCATGTTTTTGTTTCTAATGTATCGAAAATGATTTACACATGATGTCTATTCAATAAGTCAATGTGTCATCGAAATGTGATATTTACAATAAGATATGAATGAAGACCGATATAGGTCAAGGAAGTAAAGAACTGAAAGAATTTGCCATTGTCTGTAACTCCAATGTCTGTCCAGAGAACAATGGTTGAATATAAGGCTAAAATAAGACGAATACAGAAAAAAACCTTTGTTGAGAACCAATTCGAAGTCACTGCTCTTTCAGGCACGAAATCAGTAAATCCTATCCAGTTTATAATGGCGTATTTTGATGGTTCTATCTTTTGGTCTTTATACATAATCATCTTGACCAAATTAAGAACGGAAATAGAGAAAGAAAAATGCGAAAAGAAAAAGAAATTTACCTTTTTTTTTATCATTGTCCCAGTGGTCTTTTTTTTTTTTTTTGTGCAATTCAAATATTTTACACAAGAGGAACTTGAAAAAAAAAACATTCTGTTTCTCCTTCTTGTGTTCCAACCCACTTACTTATTTTTTTGTATTTTTCTAGTCATGTAAAGAGACGTTGCCTTGCTATTGAATGATTTATTATTGTATTGTCTAAAGACAGTAGAGGGATCATTTAAAGTTTTCAGGCCACTTTTTTAAGGTTTATAAAAAGGGAAATTTCATTTTCAGAATGCTGCACAACACTTGTTAATAAAGCGGTGTTTTTTTGTGTTGTTTATTATCAAGATTTGAAGAAGAAAAAAACTTTTAACAATGTTTGAGACTTATAGGTGACATAAAATGTCTGTCAAGATAAATTGAATGGCATAGCATAGATAGAGAAAGTGAAGTTTGTGCTGTGTAATTGCACAAGTACTACAATTAATATAATGCCAAGTCTCAAGCAATTGTTCATTTTAGACCGATGATACAGTCGTACTTAGAATGAGTAATCACAGTTATATTCAATTTAAGCTAATCAACTCAGCAATAAAGAACTTGAGCATAAAGAGGAATTGCATATCTCCTAATCTTTTGCGTGATATAATAGAAATGATCAGGAACAACTCATTCCGTGTTTGCCGTAAAGTCCGGTCATGTCAAGGAGTGCGGAGTGACTCGGATTTTGTGTTGACAAAATAAATTAAAATCGTGTAGTGAGATGTCTCTTTCTTTTTCGAATCTTATCCACATCTCAAGGTAAACTATTCCATCCATCCATCCATCTATCTATTATCATGCCACAAAGCTTTGTGGAAAGCTACTGTACATGATTTTAGCAAACACTTTTATGAATCGCGGATGGCGCGACACTCTTAAAAGTTTGAATTGCTTTTTTAATCCATATTTTAGAATATCAATATGGTCAGAGTCTCTGTTTTGCAAGATTGTTTGAACAACATCAACAACGCTGAAAAGCGCGGTAAGAGACAAGTTCTTGTTCGTCCTTCTTCCAAGGTTATTGTTAAGTTCTTGTCTGTTATGCAGAAGCATGGTAAATATCTTTTTCTTTTTTTCAGAAAAAAAATATTATTACCCCGTAGTATAACTGGTTGCATGTTGACTCTTTTCACAGCATGTAATTTTTAAATCTACGGGAGACTCAACTTCCATCATTTTATTTTTATTTTTTGCACTTCATTCTTTTTGATGTGTTTATTGAATAATGGAGATAAACTGACCCTTTTTTAGGCTACATCGGCGAATTTGAACAAATTGATGACCATCGTTCTGGCAAGATTGTTATTCAACTTAATGGCCGTATTAACAAGTGTGGTGTTATCTCTCCTCGTTTCAACATTAAGCTCGGTGAGCTTGAAAAGTGGACTGCTAACTTGTTACCTGCTCGTCAATTCGGTCACTTGGTCTTGACTACTTCTGCTGGTATTATGGACCATGAAGAAGCTCGTCAAAAGCACACTGGTGGTAAGATTCTTGGTTTCTTCTACTAAGTCCTCGGATACCTTGCCAAAAAAAATAAAAAGTTTTTTATATATATATAAACTCTGTACATAAATAATTAAAGATCTTTATTAAAATAATGTTGTCTAATGATATTGTCCTTCTAATGATAATTCTTGATCTATTTTTTCTTCATGGCCTATCTGGTTATTCAAGATAACAAAGCCTATTAAGATCAAGACACTGCCAACCAGGGTGGATGTAGGTACCATTGTTCCTGTGACTAACACATCTGTGACAGCAACAGCAGGTACAGTCAACATGACACCTACTGCTGCAAATACGGGGTTGACAAGTGCAATGACAGCCATGAATGTGGCATTATAAATCACACTCATAGAAGCAATGGCTAAAATATAACCAAATGTTTCCAGATCAGGCAATTCAAATCGCTCAATACCAGAGAAATGAAGCAAAGGAAAAGGGATCCACAAGACAAACAGAGTGACCATACCAATAATACCAGTCACCATGTTGGCAAACAAAATAGTGGGTTGAGAAGGAGTTGCGTATTTTTTGTAATAGACTTCATAGAATCCATACAATGCAGCACCTATACAGGACACAAGAATACCAACCCATTCTGCAACACTTGAATCCTCTTGCTTCATGCTGTCTCCTCCGTCTTGTTGTTGTTGCGATGGCCAACATGCCATGGCTATCACACCTGCTAAACAAAGCATGACAGCAGCTATCTTGGAAGCACATAGTCTGTCATGTAACATCAAGATACTAAACAAATAGGCAAAAAAACAGCCAGTATTATAAATGGCTGTCAAATTAGACATGGATGTCAAATTGACACTCAAGTACCAAATATAAGCAGGTAATGTTAAGAGCACAGATAGCCATAGACTCGTCTTGATCATGAATCCTATAGGAGACACATGATTGCCTTGTACACGGTATTGTAGCTCAAGAAGTGAGTTTTGAACTGACGTTGCAGTTTTTTCTATAGTGCCAAGTATGTTTTGATAAAATGAGGATTTGTGTGGTTGTTGTATATATTCTACTATCAGCTGAATAGGAATCATTCCTGTATAACAAGAGTGACTTATGTACCTAATGAGAAGATCAATAGGTGTTCAATATTCATACTGTGTAGATTACAAGATAAAATAGGGTTTAGAATAATTCGTTGTCTTTTGAACATATTGAGCAAGTTCTGTCTGAAGAACGAATGAAATGATACATATTGTTAACATAATAGTGGCCAAAAACGAACTCGATTGTCTTGGTTTAAATAAAGCTGGTGGCGGTGATGGTGTATGTTCATCCGTTGGAACTGTGTGGTAAGAAGCCATACTGTTAAAAAGAAAGAAAGAAAGAAAAAAGGAAACCCTGTGAATTTGTAGCATATGAAATTTAAATAGGATTATCAAATTTCTAGACAGAATTTGATTGGGTGAATGATATTATCCTAAGAAAGCATTGCATTACTAACACAAATGTATAAAATGTGTTGAAAGTATTCATATATGATTTCAGAAATATAAATTCTAGATTTGTATCCTCTATGGCGTGGCTCAGTCAAGAATAAGCGCAGGCTGTAAAATCAAGCCCTGTGTGACATAAATCCATATATTTATATAGTTATTCTGCTTATTATCCTGTTGCCTGTTTTATTACCCCACAATGAATGCTAGTCTTATTTGTTTCGTACTTATACTTGCATTAAATATAGCTAGAGCTAATAGAACACTCCCTGCGAACGTTGTCTACCATCCTAAATATTGCCCTACACAAGACCCCGTCATTGATAGAAACTACCTAATTGAATTGACAGAGAATAATGATTTATGGATTGAATCAGCCCATATTCATGTCAAAAAGAGATTTAACCATCCATTGTTTACTGGAGCTTTGATTGAAGTAGTGGACGGGCAAGAAGCATCTTTAAAGCCTCTCTTAGACCATGAAAATGTAGTGTCTATCTCTCCCAATAAAATGATTCAACTTCCTGCGTTTGTCCCTCAAGCCCCCAATGGCAGCCAAGGGGCCACATTATCTGCTGATATGGTCAAATCTTTGCTGCCTCATGAGTTTTCACAAGTAAACAGGGTTCGAAGAGAACTGAATTTGACTGGAGAAGGCATACTGGTGGGTCTGATTGATACAGGTATACATATCAGAAAAGATGATTTGCTAACTTGTTTCTCAAGGTATTGATTATCGCCATAAAGCCTTTGGTGGTGGTTTTGGTCCTGGATATAAAGTAGTTACTGGTTACGATTTAGTGGGTGATAGTTGGGATTATACCAATGATCCTATACCAGATAATGATCCATTAGATGACTGTGGAGCATTTGGAAATGGCACGCTTAAAGGAGCTTCAGGTAAAGTTAACATCTTCCTATAATTTCTTACTTATAAACTTCTGAAAAGGCCATGGAACACACGCTGCTGGTATTATTGCTGGATTTGATTCTGAAAATGTAAGACAATGTAAAAAAAAAAAAAAAAAAAAAAAAAAAAATAGACTATTAACATATATCAGGGTTTTGAAGGTGTTGCTCCAAATGTCAAGCTGGGTGTTTGGCGTGTATTTAGTTGCAATGGTGCTTCTTCTACGGGTATTGTTGTAGAAGCGATGTTGAGAGCATATGATGCAGGTGTTCACATCATCAGCATAAGCATAGGTACAGAGCGTCCTTGGTCAGAAGCTAGTCATCCTCAACACAAGGTCATCAATCGACTGGTACAAAATGGTGTACATGGTAAATTATCTATCGTAAAAAAGAAATCTTTTTCTAAATCTACTTGGATCCAGTTGTTGTTGCTACTGGAAACAACGGTAGAAAAGGCCCTTTTACTGTCATGACTCCTTCCAATGCTGAAGGCGCTTTCTCGGTAGCTTCCGTTGACAATCAATATAAGATTTCTACCAGTGTTGTGCAAGCAACTGGCATTTCAAAACTTATTGGTAAGTATGGTCGTATCCCTTTTGTTAGCGATTAACCTTCTTGTAGATTTTCTGCCAGGTAGACGTGCTAGTGGCAGTTTTTCTCGGATACCTGATGCTGAACTAGCTATTGCTTATACCGGTAGTGATCCTAAGTTGCTTGAAGCCGATGCGTGTACATCAGAGTCTGTTTCGACTGGAGTTTCTGGTAAAATAGCTCTAGTTAGACGTGGTGGTTGTCTCTTTGCAGACAAGATTGAAAATGTAGCATCTGCAGGTGCCATTGGAGCTCTTTTTTATAACCAAGACAATGGCATCAAAATAAGTATAGCTCTCACTAATGACTCTATTCCAGTTGCTTCGATTTCAAATGAAGATGGTAGTGTATTAATACAAGCAGCTAGAAATGATCAAGTTAATTTGACTTTTGATTACCATGCCAAAAACCATTTTGAACTGAATATGGAAGCGAATTCTGTCTCCATGTTCTCTAGTATGGGTCCTACTGTTGAGCTTGATTTGAAACCAGATATTGCTGCTGTAGGTGATACAGTTTACTCCACATTACCTAGGTATTTAGGTGATTATGGTGTACTCAGTGGTACTTCCATGGCTTGTCCTTATGTATCTGGTGCCATTGCTTTGTATTTACAGCAGCATGGCATCAATAAGACAAACCCTCTGGAGATCCGAGAACGATTCAAGAACTATGCCTACATGACTAATATTGGAGTTCCAGGCAGTAATGTACTTGAAAGTCCCTTACGACAAGGTGCTGGTGCCGTTCAAGGTAGACTTCAATTCAGCATCTTTGCTTAACTTATCGCCTTTTATGTAGTTTATGATGCTATTACTCAGCCTGTCTATGTTAGTCCAGCTCAGATCAGTTTTAATGATACATCTTCTACAGGCATAAGTTACAAGACACACAATTTGACTATTGTGCATACTGGTACCGATACTGTTACCTATCAATTGTTTAACAATGTGTCTGTTGCCATTTCACCTTACAATCGCACAAATTCTGGCTATCAACTCCTCACTTTTCCTACAAATGTACAAGTCTATGCTGACATCCAAGTCTCTACAAACCTAGTAAGTCTAGAGTCAGGTCAAAATCAGACTGTCACTATTACAGTCATCCCTCCAAACAACATAGACATACAGGATCATATCATGTACAGTGGATTTATTCAATTCGAGCCCTTAAATCAAGTAAACAGTTCAACCGTTCGCTTCAAGACATTGCATGTACCTTATTTTGGTGTTGTAGGCAATCAGCGCGACTTGCCTATGTTTGATCCTACCTTTGACATTGTTACCTTTGATGTCGAAAACAAGCATGTATATCAAGACAATGAAACAATTCAATATACATTATCTGAAGCACAGGATGATTTTATTGGCTTTGACTATCGATTTGTTACGCCCGTAGGTGTCCATAAAGCAGAAGTACTGCGATATCCAAGTCTGGAATTGATGGGCCTTGTTTCATTCAACGCATACCAGTATGCACAGCGACACACCACAACTCTTTATTGGAACGGACATTACTCAACACAACTTGATTTTAATCGTCTTTATTATGAAGCAAGAGGAAACATGACGATGGAAACTGTGCCTGTCACCAGTGGCACTTTTGTGATACGATTAAGTGCGCTCAAGATCTTTGGCAACCAAAACCAGCCCAGTGATTGGGATACTTGGACATCTAAGCCAATAATGATAAACAATGAATAAAACTAGCGAGAAGAAGGTCCAGCACTTGACTTTTTCCGCATGTTACTATACGATTCTTTGGTTGGTAATTCAGCTGGTAAATCAGTCAATATCCTAACAACTTTAAGAACAAATTCTCATTGTGTGTGTTGCCTACCGCATCATTTTTAACCGTGTTTTTGCAGGACTCTAATTTTTGAGTATTAGACGATCTTGAAAAGTATGTTTCTTAGCCTACTTCACAATCTTTTAAAGAGTTCATGGCGAGTAAAGAGTATTGCTGTAACACGTTTGCAGCTGATTGTCTCTTTATTTGTGTAGTATTATCGGCTCGCTTTGAATGATGAAATAGTTCGCCTTCAATGTTGCTTGACATTGTAAAGAGAGGTAAACAAAAGGGGATAATGTGCCACAGCCTTTTTATAGGCTTCATTGGCGGGGGCTGAAAATGATTTTTTTCATATCAAAACGTCCAAAAATGAGACTATTGACTTTTGATGTCTTAATAAAAGCTATAGATGTCTGTTTTGCGCATTTAATGATTTAGAAAGGTTGACGCTTTTAATACTATTTTTCTAGAGAAAAATGAGATATTGTTTGAAGCACTTTTCGAATCGTAACTTGTCAAGTGTATAGAAAATTCTTCTAAGACAGCGAAAAGGCAAAGCATTGTTTGACGGTCAGTTTGAGTGCTTAAACGAATCGATGGCTGCATTCTATGAGGCACAAAACCGAAAAGAGTCGTCATAATCGGAGACTGAATTTATCTGAAGGGTTTATTCGAGCAAAACATCGAAGAAGTTGTCACTCGGGACTTTTCCGACGCACTTACTTTGGGAGTTTCTCCTGTCAGCTGGATGCATACTTGTATGGTACTTTTGCCCAAGAAAGGGGACTTGACCAACCTCCCGAATTGGTGTCCCATTTCTCTTATCAACAAAGATGTCAAGGTTTTTACTAGACTAGTTAATGCAAGGTTTATGTCACATTTCTCAAAATGTATCTCTTCTCAACAAATGGGCTTTATGCCTAGGCGTTTTATTGCTGAAAGTGATCAAATTCTATACAATGTTCAAACCATTGCCACGTACACCAAATCAGGCTCCTAGGTTTACTATTGGATTAAGAGAAAGCCTATGATCGTGTTCATCCTGAATACCTTACACAAATTATGCATGCTTTTAACATTCCTTCTACCCTAATTCATAATCTCATCACTCTCCTTTTCAACACACATATACGCTTAAACTTCAATGGCCACATATCAACAAATACAGTACAACAAAGACGTGGACTTCGACAAGGAGACCCACTTAGTCCTCTATTGTTCAGCGTCGCATTCGACCCCTTCCTTCGCTCTATCCAACAAGACAAACAACTTATTGACTTTGATTTCTTAGACGAAACTAACACACATGCCTCCTCAGAGTCAATAGATCTACTCACTACTCAACTACGATCACTTAATCTCAGTCATTCCAATACAATTGCTCCTGTCAAAATTTTAGCCTACACAGATGATATACTAGTTTTGCTTCGCAACCAGTTTGATTTTATACGTCTGCAAGCCATCGTAAGTAACTATTGTCAGCTTCTAATGCACTGCTCAACTACAGCAAGACTCAAGCCTTTTCCTTGTCCGGCTCGTCTCTACTACATTGGTCACTTTTTCTTCGTAACAACAACATCACCTTTTGGTATGCTTCTGACCCCTCCTCTCCTTTAATTTACTTAGGATGTCCTATTTGCTCTAGCACTCAACAGCGCAATCAATTTGCTACCACACTTATCACCAAAGCTCAACTCTTGTGCAATATCCACTTTCAACGCAATTTATCTGTACGTGGGCGAGCTACTGTCCTTAATAATCTTGTATTTTCCATCCTGTGGCATATCTTGTGCCTTTTCCACTTCACCAAAGAGCAACTTACCAAACTTCAACAGATCGGAGCATCCTTCATCAACAACCGTCGCTACAATAAGCTCTCTTTCGCCACTCTGGCTCTCCCTTGAGAGAAAGGTGGTCTTGCCGCCTTAGATCCCATTATTCAACAGAATGCCCTTCAATGGCGTTGGCTTTAACCTCTTTTACGATTCAATACACTCCATTCCCTAACCCAACTTTCTCTCCCAATACTTCAATTCAGTCTACATTATTTTATTTTATTTTTATATCCATCAATCATCCCACATACCATTGGTCCCTCTTTTCCCCTTCTTACCGTCTATACCTCCCTACCTTGGTCAACAACTACTTTGCCAACTTACTTCAAACCGCTGATGCACTGCCGCATAATTTTGATTCCTGCCAAGTCCCTCTTCAAGTCTGCCTCCATCTTCCTGCACCCGAACTATTCATTCATCACCCACAACCCTCCAGTCCATCTTCTCTCCCTTTTTTTGAACCGCCTGACTCTCTTTTCCACAAAACTTCTGGTTTCTCTCGCCTCGTTGGTCATGGTCTTTTCTTTTACGATAACCAATCTCACTCCCTAAAATGCCGCACTCGCGATACACTGGCTCAACACCACCGCGTCCCTCTTTGAATATTCAAACATATCCGCAATCAGAAACTTTTACTCAAACTTCTTGTCCCTCCCCACTTTGAACCTATTACGATCACTCCTCCCCCTAATACATATATCACTTTTCATCCTTCCTGCCTACAATCTTTTATTACTACTCTTACATTCTTTCAAACTGCTTCCCCATCACTTGATTTCAAACCTGCATCTTCAACTATTTCCGGCTATAAAGCATTACTTCCCTTACATATTCCTACACTTATTTCACCATTTGACATTGTCCCCAACTGCAAAACCTTTTGGTTACTTCACATTATCCATCGCTCTCGTAATATCTGGTTCCGCTTCTTGTACAAAACCATCAATACTCGATTTTACCTTTGACAAAAACTGTCTCAACTCATCACCCATCCCCGATGCATTCACGGCCCATACTTCCGACGAAACACCATTGGCACACTAGATCACTTCAACTTTCTTTGTCCAACAAAATACAAGATCTGGTACCACATTCTTTCGACATACGTCGACCCTTCCCTTACCAATCCTTCAATCCAACTCTTAAGACAACTTCTCAATTTACGCACCGCCATTAAACGCACCAAAAAGTCTATGCTCCCAACCCTTTCCACTCAACAAACATGTGCTAGCACATTGGAAAATCTATGGTCCAGCCATTGGCGTTCCGTTTTTGATTCAACACCTTTTACCTTTCCTTCCATACTCCATACAGTTAAACGCCTGTTGACTAAGAAATCCGATGAACAAGAACTAATCATTTTTGATTGAACTTACTTTCCTTCCTAGTAAAATTCACTCACTTTTTCCTTTCCCCCTCCTCTTGCACAACATACCCCCTCAGTCTTATTTATCATTCATTACGACATCTTTAGGACTTTAAATAAAACCAGAACGTAGTTGCCCTACAAAAAAAAAATGACCATTTTTCTTTGCAAAAGTTATTTCTTTACATGCCCTGTGCCTCATGATACTAGAAATGACTCTATTTTGTGATAAATATTGCATTAGAATGGTGTATCCTATACTCAACTTGGCAAAATTAAGTGCACCATAATCTCTAAATACACATTGGAAGCAAATAATCAAAATAAAGCTTTAATGTTATCTCATCAAATTCTTTTAAAGTATCTGAAATTGACTTACTCACACTTGCAGCATACATTGTTTTTTTTTAAATGATTTTATTTGCCGCACGTATTTTGTAACGCGATAGGGCTACAAAAAAGAGGTGCTCGACAATGAGTTATTATAAAGTTAAAGGAGATAAAATAAAATTAAAAATGAGATAAGGACTATATAAAAGTTAAAACCAAGCGAAACAATGATGAAAAGAAGAAGGAGAGATGAAGGAATCAGTCGAGACAATTTGTGTCTTCAGCAGCGCGGCGGCCAACTGCCCGGAGGGTTTGACTGAATGCTATACTTGCAAGGAAGGGCTCTCTTCGATGCATATGAGTCCAATGAGCTTTCCAAAGTTCTGAGAGAGAAATGACAAGTAACATTTCGACTTCAATCGGACAAGAATTGTTGACATTGATTTTGTTGAAATCTAGGGATTGAAGAGCTGAGGAGATATCATCGATAGAGGTACCAGGCCAAAGAAATTCACGAATAACAATGTCCCAGAAGATGAATTTTTGGGGGCATCGAAAGAAAAAGTGGAAGACAGTTTCAACCTCTTGACAAAAGGAACAGAATGGGTTAGGAGCAGTGGAAAGAGCCATGTTGAAGAGAAGGGATTTGGTATGTGTAATTATTGCGTGGAATAAGGTCCATAGTTCGACAGATTATTGTGACAGTGTTGGTAGCCATGAATCTAAACGAATGTGGACGAGCTCGAGAGAAAAGTAAGTGAAGCAAAAGATTGTCCGTTTGAAGTAGTTGGCAGCAATGGTGGAGAGCGAAATCATGTACTAGGCTACGTTCTGCTGTTGGGTGAATGAGCGGATGAACCCAACGGAAGTACAATGAGCTTTGCTGTGTCTCAGGATACAAGACACCTAAACCACCAAATTTTCTAGGTGTAGTCATCAGTTTCCAACTTAGGCGAGGAAAAATACCATGAGTGACAAATGATGTGATTACGCTTTTGATCGACTGAACAATGGCTTTTGTTACGGGTGTGACTCTTAGCAGGTACCAACATTTTGACAGAATGAGCGCATTTGCTACAGTAGCGCGTCCTAAAACTGAAAGGTTGCGGCTGGCATAAGAATCAGCGGCTGTTTTCAAAGATCCAATAAACGAGGAGAATAAGGATGTTCGCTGAGTGGATGATTGTATCAGAGGGAAGCCCAAGTAAATAATGGGATCAGTATCGCTGGAATCCCAAATTTTGTTGATTTCAAGGTCTACTAATACGGATATCCACTTGTCATTCATATCTCTACCTGATAGAGAAAGAGCTCGAACTTTATTGAAGTTGATTTTGGCGTTGGAAGCATCACAGTAGGTACGCAAATGCACTTGTAGTCTGAACAAATCGTCAACATCGTGTAGGAACAAGCATACATTGTCAGAGAGCAAAGCCATGCTTTCTGAGTATGAACCTATCAAATGAATTCGAAGCGCGACTCTCATTTTTCTTTTTTTTTCATGCGCTCCTTCTTTCCGTAGTCATAAAAAAAATGTCAAGAGATAAGCCCTCTTGGAATATACCTTCTTTTGAAGACATAGAAAAACAAAAAGCGCAACAGTCAAAACAGCCCCTTTCTTTTTTTAAAGCAAAGCGCACTTTAGCAGAGTCCAGTTTAGAAGATCCAAAAACACAAGCACCAAGCCCTCAACCACAACAACAAAGACCTCCCGCTTCAACACCAAGCCGCACACAACCTTCCCACACAAACATACGTCGATCTACAGCCAATAGTATTCTCGTTAATCCTACACAACAAAAGAACCCTATTTTAAAACATGTTCATAACGTGCCTTGGGAGCCTTCCGATGCTATCAAAATGGATTATGTGGTTGGCCAAACAACCGGCGTCATTTATCTCAGCTTAAGATATCATCGTCTTTATCCCAGCTACATTTATGACAGGCTCAATGCTGTCAAAAACTTGTATGTGTGTCGTATCTTGCTTGTTTATGTGGATGTAGAAAACTATCATGACGCCATACGAGAAATCAATCGAATTGCTATCTTGAGTGATTTTACCTTGATGCTTGCCTGGAGTCCAGAAGAAGCAGGACGGTATTTAGAAACCTATAAAGCATTAGAGAACCGAGCACCTGACTTGATCAAGGAAAGGGTGGAGGATGAATATTTAGCCAAGATCACAGATTGTTTGACGCAGATACGTAGTGTCAACAAGACGGATGTATTGACACTTCTGTCTACTTTTGGGTCTCTTAAACAGATCAGTGAAGCGACTACAGACCAATTGGCAATGTGCCCAGGATTTGGTGAGCAAAAAGTAAAGCGAATTCAACAGGTGTGGAAGCAGCCTTTTTTGGCAAATAGTAAGAAACAGAAAAGAAAATGAACTTAATAAATAACTTGAGCTTTTATTCTACACGGTTTATAATACGAATCTATGATGCTTTGGAGAGCTTATTCAAGGATGGAAAGCATACAATTTTTTCCCCTGCTTTCAAAAAATGGCAAGACATTCCTAAGTATGATGGTATGCACATCATGACCTCCAAGCAGAAGGATCTTCCTCTTTGTTGATAATAAGAGAATTTCTAATACTTTGATTGAAGCAAGCAGTATTCATCATAGGCATAGATTGCTTGTTCCTTAGTTTCTTTTGTTCAAGTGAAGACGTAGAAGTGGCTACACTTGCTGTATTAAGTGGTGAAGAGTATTGACTGTCTTCTTCATCTTCATAATCTTCATAACAATAATCACTGCTAAAGAACGAAATTTCCGACCCATATGGAATGTCACGTAATTCGTCGGGTTCAATATAAGAATAGCCCCGAAACGCATGCTCAGTCAAGCCCAAGGGACAACTTTCAGGCAACCAGCGCTGTCTTAACAAGATGGCTTCGTCATTTTCTTCCTTGATATGAGTTGACATTTCTAGAAAGTCAGGATCAAAATTACTAAGGTCAGTCTCGCTTGTCCTTGAAGGAACATAGAGGGGCTGAATACGCTTTGCATGCACGTCTTTCCAGTTCAAATGGCGAGCAAAATAAGCATGTGTACGCAACTCAAAAACGCCACCGATGCCAGCACCTAAGCGTTCAAGAGGGTCACGTTCTAATAATCCTGCAATCAAATCCATGGCTTCAGGATCAAATCGAGCAGGAAATGTCAGGTCATCATAAAGCACACGATCATACATGTCTTCAGGTGTTTCAGCAGCAAATGGCGTCACACCTGTTAACATTTCATACAGCATGGTACCCAAACTCCAGAAATCTGCAGCATAAGAATACTCTTCATCCTGCAAGATAATCTCGGGTGCCAAGTATTCAGGTGTACCACAGAAAGTAGTTGTGCGATGGTCATAGCGATCGCTGCCCTTAAAGAGCTTGGAAAGACCAAAATCAGTCAGGACAAGATGGCCATCAGCAGCCAACAAGACATTTTCAGGCTTCAGGTCTCGGTAGAGAATGTTGTTTCGATGAAGTTCTTGAAGTCCCATGACGATTTCAGCAGCGTAGAGACGACATTGCTCAGGATGGAAGCATATATAGCGTTGTAAGAGCGTGGCCAAGTCAGCGCCGGCATGATAGTCCAGTACTAAATAAAGGTTTTGTCTGTCTTGAAAAGCAGCATGTAAGCGTATGAGAAAAGGATGGCGTATGGCTGATAATGCCACCAAAATGTCTCGCTCCATGCGAATGTGCTCCACTTCTCTGCGCGTAATGCTCCATGATTTCGTAATTGACTTTAGTGCAAATAGCTTGTGAGACTGTTGCTCTCTTACTAAGATGACCTAACGTAGGACTTAATAAATGAATACATGCAATTTTTTTCCTTTACCTTTCCAGTGGCACCTTTTCCAAGTACTTTGATTAATTCAAAGTCATCCATTCGATCATAGCTTTGTTGTTTGCCCAAGATAGAAGAACACATCAAGTCTTCTTCTTCACTTAATTCAGGCTCAAGCATCAGTGATTCATCTTCAAAGTCTTTTAGAATACTATCACAACATGGATTAGAAGAAGGTGGAGGAGAAGGTGGTAAACTTGGTGATGTGTTTTGTGTAACTGGATGGTGCTGTGTCACCATTTGACGCACAATGGTTTTTGAAATGACACGGTCTTCATCTCGTTGGGCAGACAGAAAATCACGAAAAAGGGAAGTCTTACCAATCGGCGTCGACAGTGAATGGCGCAAATAGTTTTCTATCCGCCGGGCGCTTGTCTTCATCTTTTTCTTTAGGCTAGCAAACAGATTCTTTTTCTTCCCTACATGCTCTAGTTTCGGTAATGGAACCCGATGGTTGGGAAAATGAAGTAGCAGCTATAAAAGGAAATGTGTTATTGTAAAGAACAAAAACACTCCTTTATACTTACCAGTTTATCAAGCTCATAAAAATCCTGAATAAAACGAACAAGTGAAAAATGATGTATGGGATCCTCCAACATGATATGAAATACCTAACAATGAAAGGGCTTAGTTTTTTTTTTTTTTTTTTTTTTTTTTTTTTTTTTTTTTTTTTTTTTTGTATGTTGGCTTTGTTATTTACGCACAGTGCAAGTATAACCAGATACTTGAATGTTGGATTCAATGACTGCAATATGAACAGATGAATGCAAATTGCATGTTTTATTATATGTTGCGCTAGGCATGAATATAATTGAAGAAAAAAGGGAGGGTTTTGATTGAACAATAAAATAGAGAGAAAAAAAAGAGAGGGAAAAAATAAAAATAAAAAAAGCTTTATAAACAATGAAAAAGGCAAGAGAAAAACAGCAGAATAAGGCAAGACAACAATTGCTGTACTACACAAGCATGACATCGAGTTGCATTGGCCAAACTAACTGAATACTTAATGGGTCATGATTGACTTGAAACTTATAATCCGCCATTAAACTAGTTGTAGTCATAAGAACAAAAGCCCATTTTTGTTGCAATTCCCGTAATTGAGTCATAAAATGATGTCGTCCATCTACAAACACCCACAGAACATGACAGTGTATGTTCTTTTCAAACCATGTATCTAAACTACTGATAAATGCCTGCAAACGATCGCTTGTGGGCTGAAATAGATGGAAGCGCGGTTCAGCTTGTTTCATTAGAAAATGACCATCGAGATCAATATATAAAACATGCGAATGTGTCTTTTCTAACGTGTATTTAGCAAGTTGTGTCATAATCCATGTCTTGGCTGCTTCCGAAGCACCGACCAACTCAATAGCATCTCCAGGACTCACGCCTTTTTTGATCTCTTGACACGCTTCAACACTTGTATTTATAGCAGATATACACACAGGCAAGTCAAATGCTTGATTTTCTACTTGTGCTGAATACTTTTTATAGGTGTAAACATAGTTCTTTTTTGGCTATTGTTTTTTTTTTTTTTACCTCAAGTAAGGATTGGTGCTTAATATCAGAAATAAAGTTTATTAAGAAAGGCATTGAAAAGAGAGAAAAAAAGAGAGAGAAATCCCTTATGGATTCTATTTTTGTACACGTGTAAATTAAGCTTGACCCATGCGTGCATTTTGTATACAAGAAAACTTATCGGGAATATATATATTTTATGTATTATTACACTATTTACTCAAAACCATTGTAGATCAATAAGTTAGGTGTGCCATTAGGGAGGTCCTTAAAGACATTACGAGTACTCAAGTCAAGGATTTGCTTCTTGATTTCATCAGGGGTAACACCTTCAGGGGCCAAAGACAAGAGATAGGCAGCCAAACCAGCAACATGAGGAGATGCCATGGAAGTACCAGAAATAGTGTTTATGGCATGATCATTGGTGTTCCAAACAGATTCAATGTTGAGACCAGGAGCAAAGACATCAACACATTTACCATAGTTGGAGAAATAAGCTCTTTCATCAAAAATGGTAGAAGCACCCACAGTGATAGCCTTTTCCGCACGGGCAGGAGAATAGTTACTGCGGAATAGAGATTTAGTTTTTTTTTTGGCATAATTATAGGTTGAGAACTTACCAAGCATCCTTGTTATCATTACCAGCAGCAACAGCAAAGATGAGACCAGCTTCAACAGCACCATTGACAGTGGCATCCAAAGAAGGAGACTTACCACCACCCAAACTCATGTTGGCTACGGAACCCTTGAAGGACTTGCCTTCCTTTTCAGCGGCTTTCTTGTCCTTAAGGAACTCGCTTGTGGCCCAATCAACACCCTTTACAACATCAGACATGGAACCAGAACCATTAGAAGCCAACACCTTGACAGCGACAGGAATGGACTTTTTAGCGACACCATATTTCTTACCACCGATGGTACCAGAACAGTGGGAACTTATTATTTGCGTTAGTGTGCAAAATTAGATAATGCGCTATATTCTTACCCGTGACCATTGCCATCGATATCTTCATCGTTCTTGGGAATCGTCTTACCCCAGATAGCTCTGCCTTCAAAATCAACGTGCTTGATATTGATACCAGTATCAATCACATAGACCTTGATATCTTTACCAGCAGCCTTGGCATCGTAATTATATTTGCTAAAGTTACGCAAAGTCGTAGGTTCACGACGAGAGATACGAGAAAGACCCCAAGGAGCACCACGTTGTAATTCGGAGGCATAGACAACAGAGTCTTCTTCAACATAGGCTACTTCCTCAGACTGGCGAATAGCATCCAAGACTTGCTTATCAAATCGACCGGAATAGCCCTTGAAATTGGGCATTTCATAGACATGGTTAATACCTTGTTCTTCCAAATAATCGCCACTGTTGAAAGCATGGGCAGCAGACATACTGCTAATCCATTCAGCATGGCTTTGTACTTGATCGTTGGACAAATGGTTTTTGAGAACAACGATATAAGAGCCACGCACAGCTTCAGTTTCAACAGGAGCATATAAGGGAGCAACAAAACCATCGGAAAATGAGCTAGGGCTCATCATAGGCACAGCAGTGGCATAGCCAGCCATCAATAAGGCAGCAGTCAAGATAGAAAACTTCATGTTTGTTGTATATATATATATATATAAAAAGAAACGAAAATAAAAAGGAAAATTATGATGATGAATTTTATGCCTCTTTATTTAAACAAAGAACCAATCATTGCTACGAGTGATGTCATTACTGCTCCAGTTTCCTGCGCTTGGAATTCAGGATTTGCTGACTCGACTTCTTTATTTGTTTCAAGGTATTTGTTTCATCCTGTGCTAACGTACTGCTTAGGAACACATTCTGTAGCAGCCTTGGTCTCTTTTCTGTCACACTTAGGTTTTCTTTAAGTGTCCTTTGAGTAGCTAAGGCTGCTTGTGGTGTATAAAATATTTTTTGTTTCGCTGTTTGATATTCAACTGATATGGCCTCGTATTCTTTTAGATTTGAGCATAAAGTGAGCGGATCATGAAGAATCTTTTTCAACTTTAATTCGCGTAATTCTTGATTCATTCTGAAGACAAAATACACGGTTAGATTCATACGACTCACATCATCATCATATACCTAATGGCTTTGTTAAATTCGATTTTTGACTGATACACTTCTGTGTCCATGTGTTCCTCTGCAACAAATAAAAATGCTTCCTCTTTTCTCAGTTCATCAAACACAAGAGCAGCTTCATTGTTTGTCTCTGTCATGACGGATGTATGATAAAATTCAAATAAAGTTGTGTATAGATCTAAAGCATGGTCAGCAAACATCATAAAATTTGTGTCTTGTTATTACCTTGAGTGACTCGAATACGGTTTTTACCCCATACATTCGGTTGTGACATGTATAGAAAATAAAGCGAAAAAATAACAGCACATTGAATAGACACAATATCGCTTTTAAAGTGATCTAACTCAAGTTAATATTTGATTTCTCTCTTTTTTTCTTAATTTGAACATACCCAAGAAGCAAGAAAAAAAAGTGTTCATGTAATTATCACGAAACTCTCTTTGAACACAAGCAAAATGAACAAAACTAAAATGAAGTTCGTTCCATAAATTTTCAAAGTCCTGAAGGGTTTGTCCCGGTTGCTAAAAGAAAAAGGGTAAATATGGATATTATAAGATAGTGCTACTCTACACTAATGAAATGATATAATAGATATTCTACGTCGTCTTCAATGGCATGTTTATCAATACCAACTGTTTTGGCTACACGGACTAAATTACTGGCTCTTAATAATGAGCTTGGAAATCTACTTTTGGTTCCTTTTTCTGTCATAGCTGTTTGATAAGAATAAGTTTTTAGAGGCAAGTTGTGGTTTATAAAAAAAAAAAAAAAAAAAAAAAAAAAAAAAAAAAGAGAAAAAAAAATTATACACTCATGAAAAGTTAAACTCCGAGACTTTTTTTTTGATAATGAGTATTGACATCAATCATTTTGTGTAGTAGTATGAATGTAATGAGAAGATGGTATAACGCAAAGAAGAGCAAGAAAACAATCTTTTACTCGATTGCTGTCTTTTTGTTATTCCTCAGAACAAGAGTTGGTTAAACTTGAGCTTTGATGAATGGCTTTACATCGCCATACCAGTAGCATTATGCCTATTGTTACAGATACATCAATGTTTCTTAGTCTACCATGATACATGGCTCTGGAGGGAGGTATTCGACTACCTTCTCGTATCCGTGTCAATATTTTGCATAGACTGGTTCATATATGTTGACCTTCTATTTTCTGCTCTTCCTTATAATCTGATGTAAACATTGCTTATGTATCTCATGCTCTGCTTAATTTCTAGAATTTAATTTAATCTTTTTTCAATAAAGGGCTTTGTTTGTTATGCTAGATAATGATATGAACGTCTAAGCAGAATAATAAGTCATGATATATATCTTCAATTCACAACTTACCTATCTTCTGTACTTCTTTCCAAATATTCACGGTCAATTAACGCCTCAATACGCTTTTTAATCATGACAGGACTGGGTATGAATCTTGCATTAAGCTGCTTTGTCACCTCAGCAATCAGCAGATTGTGTTCCATTGTTTTACGGTCCTTCATAATACGTACAATAGAAGCTTCAATTTGGTGTTTGCGTTCTTCGTCCACTTTGTCTTGTGTCTGCTTGCGCTCACCCTCATTTTCTATTTTAGAAGCCAATGTTTGGATTTTGATACGAGCCATATTGCTAGTAAAATCATGATTGAAACAAAAACGATCGTCTGGCAAGATGTCTCTGCCTTTGGATGATTTTGTCAGGATCTTGAATTTGGCACAAGCCAAAGACTGTAAGGTACGCTTCAAGTCGCCGTCTGCAATCTGAGTCTGATGTTTGATTTCATCCCAACTGAGTTCGTCATGTTCATTAAACAAAAGTAAGACGATCATGGCATACGTAGAGACGTTCAAAAGATGCTTGGATTTCTTGAAATAAGCACGCATATCACCAGAACCCATCTGGGGCTGCCATGTCAAACGGCGACCATTGTGTCGATCAAAATAATAGGCTTCAAAGGCCTTGGAAGCCTTAAGGACCATGGGTGGCATAATGCATTTAGGTGAAGCAGACAAGTTCATGGGCCAGAAAGTAGATGTCAAAACAGTGACAGAAATGTCCATAGATAACTTATGTTGTTCATGACTGTCCAAAAACTCCTTAAAGAAGCCGTTCATTTCTGCTGATAATCGCATGTCGTTAAACATACCTTCAAGTTTGTTGGTGAATTGATAACCACATTCTCGCTAAATACACTAAGCCTATGCATATCTTTATGTTTTCTAACATACCTTTAACTTTGAAAGCATGCCTCTCTCTGCATCATCAGAAACACTTCTGTTTAACAAAAGGCGCTTAGCCAGGTGTTGTTTATAATATCGTTCAAACACATCTTTATCTTGCAAGTATCGAAATAGATTAATTGTCTTGTCCAACACATCATCCACTTCATCTTCTGATTTCTATGTACATGTTGAATACAATGTCTAACAAACCACTTGACTTACGCCTTTGAGTCCTTTCTTTAAGTTTTCATCGATAAATAAAGAGATAAATTCAGCTGATTTTGGGTTTTCATTGATGAACTTCTCAAATGCTTCATTAAATACAGTCTGGAAAGACTTGTCTTTGTTGGCTGCTTGATCTAGAATCTTATCAAATTTGTCCTGTAAGGCCAATACTTCCATCACCCAGTTTAAAGCCACATTGCCTGAACCCGTTATCTTGGTTGATTTTGAATCAGCCACTACATGTTGATTGATTTCTGCACCCAATGTCAAGATATATTTGCTGATAAATGTTCTCATCTCGTTCAGACCAGCTGGTACGCGTGAAAATAGACTGTACATGCGCGATAAATCTAAAAAACCAACATGTCAATATAGTTCATCAAGTTGTCTTGATTTACCTCCATATTTATCAGCAGCTAACATGCTTTCCAGTCCAGAATGCTTCATTTCCATCAACGTACTCAAATTGTTAGCAATCAATTGAGTCTCGATAATTGTTCGAATCTTGGGTTCTGTTGTCACTGATAAACAGTGAATTGTACGTTCGTATTCTTCTTCTAATCGTTTATCAACCTATATACGATATGATTGAGTATTATTTTGCATAAATGGCTTTTTTTTTCTTACTTTTCGCATGAATTCAGGCGCATCATAAGAAGACACTAATTTTTGACTTTCAATCTGATAAAATGAATTGCTGGTCTCCAAATGCTTTTCTTCAAAGTCGACTGCATACACTGTGTTATTCGTGTTTTGATCATTCAGTTCAACCAACATGGCCACAGAAGACTGAATTGCGCTTCTGTCAATCACATCTCCATTTCTTTCAAGATGAATTTGATTCAACATGGCTGATATCAAATGCTTTTGGATAGGGTGTTTAGAGGATCGAATGACTTTATCACGAAATAAATTGAGTCCCATATCATACACACTTGGTAATTGATATTTAGGTAATCGTTCATTCTATTTGACATGAGACACACACACACATATATAAACTGGCACTTACTAAATAGTACAATACTTGTAAAATAAGATCAATAGCAGTCGTATAATCATCCCATACTCTCTGTACTGTTTTTAGAAAAGTAGCCCCTGCGTCTGCTGTACCGGAAGAATTTGTAAAGGCAGGTACAATGGATGTTTCTGCAATATTCTCTAGATATTCAGCAATCACTTTCTCTACGTCGTGATAGAGACGTTCACCAAATTGACGTATGGTCAACTTATATGCTGTTCTATAGAGTAACTCATAGGATAGTTCCCTTGCTTGCTTTCCAAAGATCACGGTAATAGCACTACTGAGAATCTCAAAGCCTTCTTCATATTCCTGCGTACTGTCAATACCTGGCTACAAGACAAGTGAGTTAAAAGAAAAAAAAGATACAGTCTTGTTTAAAAATGGTTACCATGCGTTTGACAGGTCTTATTCTTCCTTTCTTTAAAGACATGTATATTTATTAGAAAAAAATAGAGAGAGAGAGAAGACAAAGAATGGTTCGTAGTAAAAGTATGATGAGTATGATTATGTACACACCAAGCAACTTACGGAGTCCTAAAAAAAATAAAAGCACAGAAACTGGATTTCTTTTATTTTTTATTTTTCTTTCATATGAAGCAAAAAGGTGTTACTCAACTAGCAAAAGGTGTTGCCTCTTGTCCCGCACAAGCAACAGCTTATGGCCAATGTATTGCTTTGAGCTATAAAGATGTACAGAAAGATATGTGCCAAAAAGAATTTGAAGCATTTAAGCAATGTGTTCAACAAGCGGTAAGCATCACTTTTTTATATATTTAACCCAACAATCTGATCTTTATTTAGATGAAGAAAAAGTGGTGAATTCACTGTACTATAAAATCATGTGGTTCTCTAATTTGACAATGCCAAATAAGAACCGAACGCTGCGGTTAAGCAGCATTACACAAAATGTAAATAATAAACTTCTTTTCTCTTTTTCTTTTTCTTTTCATTATGAGTTTAGAACCTAAAGTAAAAATACAAGATGACCGAGATTCAAGTTCATCTCAAGTGTTTGTGGGCAACTTATCTTTTAAAACCACAAAAGCTGACTTGACTTCTTTTGCCTCTTCTATGGGTAACATGTAAATATTATACCCTACTCAAGTGAATACTGACAAGGATCCTTCCCTTTCTTTTAGTATTAAAGTAAGAATGGTAACTCGCTATGGTCGTTCTCGTGGTTTTGGATTTGTTACTTATGCAACTGAAAATGAAGCCAAAAAGGCTGTTGAGGAATTAAATCAAAAGGCTTTGGATGGTCGTGATATCAATGTACAAATAGCCCGCCCTAAAGCTAAATTGCCTTCAAAAGAACCCACAGATCAATCACAAAAAAAACTTCGTCATCATCATCGTCATCGTAAGCCCAAAAAGAGTGCATCTCCACCCTTGACTGTGAGTGCTTCTTATCTGAATCAACATTAACTTCCCCTCAATAGAAATCTTTGGATACCAAGCAACCTCAAAAAAAGAAGAAACCTGTTCCTGAAAATAGAGCAAGTCGTATTCCTTCCAAGACGACATTATTTGTGGCTAATTTGCCTTATACAACAACAGATGATGATTTAGTTAAAGTGTTTGGTAACTATAAGCTTGTTTCAGCCCATGTGGCTCACACAAGGAATGGATATTCAAAGGGATATGGTTTTGTTGAATTAGAGAATGAACAAGAGCAACACAAAGCTTATGAGTCTTTGAAAGATGTTGTCTTGGATGGTCGTACTATTTACTTGAAGATTGCCATGTCAGCAGAAGAAGAGTCTAAAGACAGTAAAAAAGATACCAAATAAAGCACTTCTTGTATTTTATTATCAATATTGAAGAGGAATATCTTCTTGTTCACATATTACAACATAATAGAAAGAGAGTCAAGTTAAAAGAGAAGGTATGAACTTGACCATATATACAAACATCAAACATTAGCACAACCTTGCTTGTTTCTTTGATTACTCTTGTGTCTTTTCAAGGCATCCAATCTATCGATATGAGTTATTATGTTAAGTATTCTCTTTATAGCTTACCTTGAAAAACTCTTTTGACATCCTTGACATTTATAGGGCTTATCGCCACCATGAATTTTGGAGTGTCGCTTCAAATCATGGTTTCGACTGAAAGCAGCTGAACAAGCATGGCAAACAAAAGGTCGGTCGTCTGTATGTGTTCGTGAGTGGCTTTTGAGATTATAAAGTCTTGCAAATGTCTTTCCACAGTTAGGGAATAAACAAGGATAAACTGTCTGTGTTTCATCATTCACAGTGGTTGTAATGGGTGTCGCTGAAGCATAGATAGACATAGCTGCACTTTGAGTGTCTGCCAAGGCAGGATCAGAGCGACGCCTCTTTTGACCAGCACCAGGTCGACTGTTGTTTGCAGAAGCATTGTTATTTGCATTAGAATTAGGTGAAGATGCAGCAGAAGGGTAAGGAGATTGTTGTACTTGTTGCTGTTGTTGTTGTTGCTGCTGCTGCTGCTGTTGTTGTTGATGTTGTTGATGTTGCTGTTGATGTTGCTGTTGCTGTTGTGCTGCTGCTGCTGCTGCTGCTGCCACGGCGGCTGCGGCTGCGGCTGCAACAGCGTTTGTATCGTTATTTTGAAATGGATTGGCCATGAAATAAGGAAGTGCACTTGCTGCATTTGAATTATGCTGTGATAACTGTGTTGCATACAAGGCTAAAGCAGCTGCATCTGCATAATTCAATGTAGAGTGACTAGGATCAAGATGGGATCGAGCAAAGTTTAGGTTGAGGGCATCATTGGTTGCTGTACTAGATGTTGCTGTTGTATTAGCTGTATCTGTATTGTTGTTTGGCAGGGTTATATTGGCTGAAGGTGTAGAATGAAGAGGTGGCTGCTGAGATGAACTAGCTGTGTTAGTGCTATTGACTGTATGATTAGCCACTGTGCCCAATAAGGCTTGAGACAAAAGTGCTTCAATGGCATGCTGATTGCCTTCTCTTGCTTTCTCAGTAATCTTCAATGCAATATCATTCCAATCTGTTGCTTCTAAGAATTTAATGGCCTTATCCTCTGCTACTTGTTGTTGCTTATGGATTGTATTTTCTTCATCACTGCGAATTTTATTTTTGAGCCATTCTTGATCAACATATTTTGCTGCTAATGTATTGTCCCATCTCTGTTTCAATTGCTTTCCTTTACGGCCTGGAATAGTAGTTGCAATCTCTTTCCATCGACCATAACCAAATTTCTTGATACCAGCCAGCAACAATTCATCCTCTTCTCTTGTCCATGTACCTCGCTTATAGTCCTGAATCATATCTTCACTGTTCAAGTCAATCTCCTCAAGGTGGTTAGTGTAATTGCCTATCATCTCTGTTGATGTCGAATCTTGTTTTGTCTCTTTATCCTTTTCAGGATGAGAGAGTCCCAATAACTGGAGTGCAGTGGCTGCTGCTGCTTGATCCAATGGTACTTCTGGCTTCCCTTCTGTTGTTGTTTCTGGGTTAATGGATGTCTCAGGCTGCGAAGCTTCTGTTGTGACTACAGGTGGTGGAGGTGGAGGTGGAGGTGGAGGTGTTTTTTGCTTTGGTTGTTCTTGCTCTGGCTGCTCCAGTTGTTCTTTGTTGAGTGGTTGAAATGTATCTGTCGACATATGAGTTTTGCTATTTAACTTGTACCATAAACACATACCATGTTTAACAGACAATGCAGCTGCCACTGCACCTACCACATCATTACTTTCATGCGCGTTTTGCAACAATGCAGCAGTCAGAGCAGCATTGTTTGAGGTTAATTCATTGTAATCTTCTTTTGGTGTGGCAGCAATAGTGATGTTATCAGAGGGTTCTTCTAATTGGTACTCGGGCGAATGCTTGCGTTGATGCGGTGAGCTTGTAGAGAACAAGTGGACACGAGCCATCGGAAATTATGCTTTTATTTTATGTTACCGGAGTTGTTGTAGTTTTGAAAAGGAAAAGCAAGAGTATAAGCCTTCGCCAAGCCTCTTTCTGTTTTATAAAAAAATGATAAAGGACAGATCGTTTTTGTTCATTTTGTCTATCTGCGGAAAAATTTTATAGAGTGTGTTGTTCAGTAGCCAATCAAAATGAGTTTTTGTGTTGATGTCACTGCTTTTTATTTATTATATATTGACATGGAAACAGAGGGTCAGATCATGAGATGAAACAATAGGTTTGTGCTTTTAGCATTTTTCATTCAAAAGTAAGCACTTTTGGTTGTTGTTTTATTTTTCTCCTTCAGAAAATAAAATAAACTACAACTCCCAAGTTTTTATATCATTTACTTTTAGCCTAAAAGTTTCTCTCTTCCTAAACAATTAGCCTTTCCAAGAGGCCATTGTGTGAAAATACACACACACATATATATGTACATTCAATAAGGCGCCACCTTAAGCATTTAGATATGTCGATCTAAAATTAATATCCGACATCATGTAGACTGAAAAGACAATACATTCTTTTTATATGAGTATATCTAAATCAACTGATCAAGATACTAGCTATAAAAAGCAATTCTTTCTATATGCTTTTGTTTTTCATATGAAAAAAACAGAGAGCATCATATGTGCATAGTCATTGGAGAAAAAAGAATGAATGAAACGAAATCCCCTTGTACAAACAAGTTTGATGAAGTACAGAATATAGTTTGTTTATATAGAAAAAAAAAAGATTCGACATAGATATTCAGCATATATATAAGGGAAGAAAGGAAGAAAGAAGGGCATAAGTACATTACAAATCTTGAGGCACCATAAGTGAAGGAGTTCGGTCTATATCATGACTAGAAGGTATTAATATAGAATGATAAACGGCATTATTTGGCTTGTGCTCAGCTAATGAATCAGGCAAAATGTTGTGCTTGACCAACAAGCGTTGTTGTGCACGTAACTGTTCTTGTAGTTCTTCAAGCTGCCTTTGTTGTTGCTTATGAGCCAAAAGAGCACTGACCGCATTAGGAGGAAGATGGCTAAATTCAGTCTTTGGTATCTGTGGCTGTTTAACATACACTATGCGTTTTGGACGTTGTTCTTTAAGTGTACGACCTTCTACTTGAATACGTAATTGAAGCGTTGATAATTTGTCTCGCAAATTTCTATTTCGTTTATCGAGATGCTTTATGTATTCTACTGCTTTGAACAGAATAGTACTTTTTGAGTTATTGATGTTCTTGAGGGTTGGAATCATGTCTGTGAGTTCCTTAAATCCTAAGCGTATTGTGTTTCGACGCTTTTGTTCAGATGCGATATGATTGACTCTTTTCTCATCGTCTGTTAGTATATCTCTATTTAGCTTTAAACGCTTCTTTTCTGATATAGAGGGAGAGGGTGATTGAGAGCGAATGGAGCGTCTCCTGTGCATTATAGAGGAGTAATGTCTGTTTGTTATATTGTGGGGAATAGTGATACAATCAGCATGTTGAAGATAAATAGGTGTAAGATGTTCTACTTTAAGCTCTTGCTTCTAATATTTATCCTTAAGTGTCAATTGAGACTATGATTTACTTACATCGTTTGGTACAATGATGGCTGAATTGTTCTCAACAAGATCAATGAAAGGAGGGATAGATATTCTTTCAGAGAAATGATAATCGACTAGTATTCATGATTACATAAAGCATATTCAGTATTGAATAAATTATTATTTAAGCATAAATTGTTACCATCTTCAGACTCTAATTCTAGCAAGGGGTTATTTGATGATAATGGGTAATCCCATGTACTCTGGCTGCTGCTAGTACTTGTTGTACTTGTTATGCTTGATGCTTTATGCTTAGGATCGTAGTCCATCTTTTTTTTTTTTTGTTAAAAAAGAAAAGAGAAAAGAGAAGAAAAGAGGTTTGTCATTGCCTTTCACAAATCTTAATGCTCTAGAGTCAGCAAAAATGTGGGGATTTATGCTCCGCCAAGCAATGATGAAGATGAGTGAAAAAGTCCAAATTAATATCATGATATTCACATACTATAGCATCAAATAACAACAAATAGTATCGCTTTTAGGCTTTCACATGGTTTCACATGCAAGTTGTATTTATTTAGAATGATAAGCAGTATAAAAGATAAGATAATGAACTATGAGTGGTTGTTATTGGCTACAGCCATAACTTGGTCAATATTTTGAAGCATAGCAGTTGTGCGACTCAAGAGAGAAGTGAGGTTAGTGACTTCACGCTTTAATTCAATACGATGAGCTTCAAGTACTTGTTGAGTATGGTTAGGTCCATGGTTTGGGTGGAGAAAGGCACTAAAAGCAGCAGCATTCTTCTTGGGAGAAAGGGGTGGAAGCATTTCATCATGAGGAACAAGGGGAGGAGAAGGTAAACTAGGAAGACTTCTGTCTTGACGGTCCATTTCAGGGTTCAACAAGCAAGCAATATTGTTCTTGATGGGGCGCATAGGAGGAGAAGGAAGGTAACGAGCATGTTGGAATACATCAGGCTCAATAGGATCAGGCGATGATCTTCTAGAGACAGGTGAAGGAGGACGCTCAATCGTAGGTGTGGGCAATAACGGACGCAAATGGTGATCCATGCGTTTGGCTGGTGGTTCTTGTGGAGCGCCATCGACTAAACCGCGTTTGGTGCCACAAGATTCAAGTGTAGATTGACGATGAATGACGACAGGTTTATGGGTCACCATAGTAGCAGCAGTCACTCTTTTGCGGCGCTTGATGGTAGAACGTTTCATGGTGATAGGTCTGTGAACACTGTGTAATTTGAAGTAAAGTCCACAAGCATTACAAATAGGTTGGCCTGATTCATCGCGTCTCCATAAAGGTGTAGTTGTTGTTTGACAATTGGCACAAATAAGAGATGAAGGATCTTCATTGTTTGTTTGATCTTCTTTCTCAATCAAGGATGATGGTTGTGGTTGCTGTTGCTGTTGAATAACGACCAAAGCTGGAGGAGCAGGAGGAGCAGGGGCTAAAAGAGGTGCAGGAGAGATACGAGGGGCGAGAGCAATAGGACTAGCATTTGTCTTAGGACGCTTATAAGAATTTCTCTTTAGCCAAACAGGACGAGTTGTATTACGGGCCTTGTAGTAAAGTCCGCAGGCATTACAGATAGTTTCTCCAACAGGAGATCTTCGCCATAAAGGGGTGGTAGTGGTACCACAGTTCGAACACGAGGTAACAACCGCACTTCCAATGTCCGATTTCGCAACACTGGAGTTGCTCGGCTCAATAACGGAATTATTGGTGGAAGGGGAAGAGACCTTTGACTGTTCGAAGCCAGATAACTGATTCTGGGCTTGTTGCATAGAATTCATCACATCATTGTTCTGGGACAACTGAGGTAAAGGTTGTATTAACGGGCATTTGTGGCATGAATCAACGCTAGTTGACGTTGATGGTTTATTATAAAAGGGAGACTTTACAGTCATGTTTAATGAATATAGAAAAAAAAAAGAAAAAAAAAAGTCGAAAATTTTTTGAGGAAAAAGTATTTATCTATTTTTTTTAAAATTTATAGATTAGGATCACGTAAAGATTTGATTGGATATTGATAGCAAACATCTGTAGATAAATTGCATCGGAGAAAGTAGCCCCCAATCAAAAAAGATCTGTTATCTTTCTCCCTTCAATCTCTTGTTTATCAGTTCTTTTCCCCCTTATTCTCCCTTTATTTACCGCGGAACGAAAGAAACTGAAGAGAGAAGCAAAGAAAATAAACAGATCATTTTAAGCAAGATAAGCAATCACGTGAGAGAGAAGCTAGAGCAAATATCTCCCTTTCTATCTCCATTTTTAGAAAATATAAATCAAAGTTTAAAATGGTCTAATCGTTCTCGTTTTTCGCATCTTTAATTGCTTTGCTTGATGATTGATCTTATCTTCGTCTAGACATTCTCCTAAAATAGCGCACAAAAAAAATTCAGTGGCATTTATGCTTTGCATATATAAATAAAACCCGTACTGGTCACCAGTTACAAGTGTACAACAAAAGAGATAAAATGTTTTTGAGCGATACTTTTCTTTTCCCCTCCCCCTTTTTTTTTCTTCTTTTTTTTCTTTAAATAGTGCTGTTTGTTTAAAATAGTTCATGGCCAATATTGAAGAGCTCAACGTCCCATTTGGTATGAAATAATTCATGCATTGGTTTTCATTTGTTTATTTATTTAGACCCCTTTGCTGATGTTGATGAAAATACAACACAACCTACAAATAGAAACATTCGTAAGTAAACCAAGAAAATGATATGTACTAAGTGTCTGATAGACTTGCGTATTCAACAAAGAAACGGACGTAAAACAGTAACAACTCTTCAAGGACTTCCCAAAGAATATGATGCTAAAAAAATCTTAAAGGTATTCAAAAAAGAATTTGCCTGTAGTGGCAAAGTTGTTGAACATGAAGAGTTTGGTGATATTCTGCAACTGGCTGGCGACCAAAGACTTAAAATTGCTGAATTTTTAGTCAGCGAAGGCATCGTCAAGAAGACAGAGATCAAGATTCACGGTTTTTAAATATACCATATTGTATACCATATTGTATATCATTTATATCTATGCCGATTTGATTTCATAAAATAACCGCAGTTTTTTTTGTACCACTTGTTTAAAAAAAGTGTGAGAATAAAGGAGAGCATATCTCGTTTGATAATTTATGTAGGGCAAGTGAAAAAATTGACAGAGACAAGCTCAAGTTCGTTCTCTGCTACAAAAGCAGGAATATCGAATTTACGACGATATTCTCTTTGTTCGTGTTCCATAGGTTTAAAGGTTTGGTTTCCTCCTTTCAATTGCTTATAGAGCAAGAAAGTGTAACGATGAACACCAGTGTTCTCGCCAGGACCAGGACCGACATAAGGCGTATGTTGGTTTTCGGCTTTTGTTAGGCTATTCTCGATATTGGATCCTATAGGATGTCAGGTAATCTAACAGTCGCTCGAGAAACTTACCAGAGATGTTGACCACAACCCAGTGACGCCAAGGACCAAACTTTCTATCATGAGCTGAAGGTGCATCAGGATCCGTCTAGAGAAAAAAGAAAAAAGAAAAAAGAAATAAACATTTACCCTTTCTTTTTCATTCTTTTACTTACCATAACAAGGGTATAATAGTCAGATGATTCAGGTGCAACAAAGGATACTTTAGGTTGCTCACTAGCATCTTGGGGACTAAGTTGATTGCCGAGAGCAACATCTTTACTGCTTTTTGGGAACTCAATCTGCAAAAGCGTCGAAGGGGAAATGTCATTAGGAATGACTACACGAAACATTTAGATATAGCGAGTTAATATTTATTAAAATACCATCCGGAATCAATCCCACTTTTTCAAGGGCGCCGTTGATATTCGTTTCTGCTGTAATAAAAGTCATTTTTGATAATATCAGGAAAAGAAAAGAAAACTAAAGAAAAAAAAATCTAAAGCTTAAGAGAAGGAAACCTTGTTATTTATTTACGGAAAATAGTAATTCTCCTAAACTGTGCTCGAGTGTAATCCGGGGAAAATCAAACTGTTGCCGTAATAAAGACGAAAGATGTGGTACCAGCTCTCTTTTTTTATTCGTAGTTTCAAATTTAACAATAAAAATCGAACTTGAGTGGTGAGCTTGTTCATGCGCTTAGTAGGATAGACGCATCTGCTTTGGCGCATGCTCTGGCAGCTTGCTCTGCTTGAAATATTTTATAGACAAGCCGTAGTTCAACAGCTTGGTTACCTATGGCAAAGATAAACGCTTTTTATTCAATGATTCAAGTCTTCCCGTGCTTCTCTCTCTATATGTATATGTATATATATATATATATATACTTATCTTCTATCTATATAGTTAAAAACAAAGCTTATATAACCATTCTTCTACACGCTTCCTAATTTTTTCTCTCCAAGATAGTCAAAAGACATTGCGGCTACAATTGTCACAGGGCTGAATCCTGGAACATTTTTTATTCAGAAAATCGATGTTGTCTCAAATGAACAACAAACGTTTGTGTTATTCAAAAGACGGTAATTTCCATTTTGACCTGTCTTTGAGATAAAAATTGACTATGTTTTACAGTTCAATTGACATAACCCAAAGAAAAATGAAAGTCAAGAAAAAGCGCTTGCTTCTTGTTTAATTTCATGTTTATCGCTATTAATGTCAAAAGACTCTCAATGTGATAGAAGAGAAAAAAAGACCGGATTTATTGAGGAAGACAAAGAGAGAAACGTTCCTGTTGAAGGCGATGTTTCAGTACTTGTTTTATATGACTTGCTTGCTGAAAGCCTGTAAGCCTCCTTGAGAGCACCATAGCAGAAGATGCTTATTGGTTGGTGCTATTGCTGTTGTTACATGCAATGATTTTCAAAGATCGTGCTGACATTCAGCAGGGCGTCAAGATAAACACCAAAAGAGCTGTATTCATCGCATGTTGAGGGGAAATTGATACTTTCCACCTCAAACATAAAATACTGTCCATGGCGGTAGAAGCACCAATAGAAAGCGAATTCGAAGCCTAGTTCTTGTTAATATGTTTGGATGACAGTAACTAATAAACTTTACCTTTTGCTTGAAAAGCCAAGATATATTTTGAGTTGTACTTTTCAATTAAAGCAATATAAAACGCACTCAGACAATAAGTGTTCAAGGACAGGCCAACAGAAGAAAAAGGAAAAGGCTTCACCTCACCTATCAAATTGATTAGGCACGAGCTTAAACCCACCCCTACAACATAATTAGGGCAGCAACTTTCTAGGGATGCGGGGAGAAGGTAACAGTATATCGTCAAACCTAAAAAGAAGATGAGCTTACATAGACATCTCTTTTAGTTTGCACTCTTACTTACGAGGGCCGTAGGCATCAGTTGTTTTGAACAAATGACCCACACGGCCTCCAAAATATCTTCTACTTTCTTCTCCCCAATTGGTTCGTATTTGTTTGTCATCTTGTTCACTCTATTTGATATAAAGTAGCCATTGGTAAACATTTTATACACTCCAATGTCCACTCCCAAAAAGCTACATCTTTTGCGTGAGTACGCGTTCTTTGAAAGAGAAGAAGAAGCAATCATTTTTATAAAAAGAAAAGAGAAAGAATTATTTATCAAAATCATTTCCAATTCACCATTTTATAACAATAAAAAACCTACTTATTGTTTGCCAAACAAAGAAACTAGTATTTTATCAGGTACATGTGATATAAAGATAAATGGTTTATTTATATAAAGAAGGGACTGTTGTGAGCAGGTTTGCCAAAGAGGTTAAGGCGGAAGTGTCGATGAAGTGCCTCAAGGATCGAAGGATCAAAATCTTCGGACAAATCAACGTCCAAGCGCTTGTTGATCTTGACTATATTGCGAAGAACACTATTGGTAACAAGAGAAAAAGGGAAAAGGTGGGACGGAATTAGCTCCTGTTACAGCAAAAACCAAACCTAACTTACAGCCATCGATTCAAGTAATGCTTGAAGCTTCACCAACATTGGCTCTCAAAGAAGCCAAGGACGCAGCAGAAAACTTCTTGCATGCCTTGCTTACGTTATATTCGTTGAATATAAAATCATCGGATTGATGATTTGTGATCACAAAGCTGTTCAACCTCTTATAAAGTTTAGCTACATATACTCCTCTTTTTTTCTGTGAACAAGATAGCCTTACTTGCCATACACGTTCATCATGTCAAAAGAGCGCTTAAGGCTATATCAACAACCAGTATTTGCTTGTAGATGTTAGATTAAGGGCAACTTACTTTGTAGTAATGGTACTAGCAGTACCAACACTAACCTATATAAGATACACAGGCCGATAAACAAAGTCAGTATCGGGGGATTTTTTTCTCAAAGACACGCACAAATTGATTCCAGGCCATTTTGGCTTTGTCTTTCACCGCCTTGACTCCATGTTGTCTTGCAGCTCTTTGAGACTCTTGCCAATATTGGCCGAATTCTCTGAGCTGATTGCTTCTGATATGTTCGTGGTTTTTTCTTATGTAATTTTCAAAAAGAGATTACGCCCTCTGCCTTGCATTTAATAAAGTAGCTTTTAGAGCTGGAGTGTTCATGCAGCATTGAAGCAAAAGGAAACTCCAATGTGCAGTCTAGAAAGCGACCATTCTTGCATAAAAGTATCAGATCTCAAAGTATAATAGTAGAGGGGATTTTTAAAAAGAAAGAAATAATTAAGAGAAAGAAAAAAGAATCAAATAATTTCAACTGACTATTCTATGCAATAAAAAACCTGATTATTGTTTGTCACATAAGCAACCGATAATTTATCAAATACATGTGAGATAAAAAAGAATGATTTATTTACATAAAGAAGGAACAGTTGTGAATATATATGAATTCATTCGTATAAATCAGTAGATGATGATCATGGCAAAAGACTAGATCACACATATGGCAGTTGCAATGGACCTATAGTCACTGACATTCACCCATTCTACCAAAAGCACTACATCATCCTCATAGTCAGAAATCATTGATCCAAAGACTTTGTTGTTACTATTTTTATGGATGATACTCATAAAGTGACAGTCAGAACTGACTAATGCATTAGCATTGGCATTGCCAAATCTGTAATAGTTTATTACTCAAGTTCAAGTCAGACTGTTTATCATTGACTGAGCTGACAACTTCTTCTGAAGGCTTTTCTCTTGATTTTTCCTGATCTAGCAAATCAACTCATGGTCAAGAAGCTAGTCGCAAAACAATGTTTCGACCGAGAAGAAGAAGTAGAAACATCTCAGCATTTTATAACTATTGAAAATTGCCATATTTTCTCTTGAAATAAAACCCTCTACAAGTTCTAACGGACTTTCTCTGTGTTCTTGCCTTTTCTCTTATGTTATGTCTATTCTTTCCTCATCTCACAACAGACAAATGCCTGGTAACAAATGATTTGTATCTGATTACTTAGTCATTATCTTGTTGGTAAAATGTCTTAAAGCGGATAGAAATCCTTGGGTATCAACCTGTCAATCACATTGAGCTGATTGCAGATTGACTGTCTCATCTGATACAAATCTTTGTACAATAATAATCAATGAACCATTTGGAATAATTCTACTACTACTGTAGCATAAGCGATGGAAGAAATCATCAATTAAATGCAAAAAAAAATGGAGGAGTTTTTCATCGATTGAAGGAAAATCTTGGTCAAATCTTTACTCAAATATGAAAAGATTTCTTCTATCGATGGGAAAAAATGCAATTGCTTACGCTGTGGTGGCGCACTATTCAAGATTTCTGTATGGAATAAGGACGTCTACAGACCATGCTGAACTCTGATACAAGCATTTTTCTATAAATATGAGCCTATCATTAACTCAATTGGTCGCATTCTTTGTACAGCCTTAATTTTCTTGCTCTTATTTTGAGATTGCTAAATTAGCATGGATGAACATGGATGACCCTGGATGAGCACTGATGAGCAGAGAATAATAAAATTTCTCTTTTTTTTTTTTTTTTTTTTTTTTGCATTTTTATTTTACAATTTTAAAGTAAAAAATAAAAAATTTTTAAAACTGTCAAATCTTTCAAAATTTAAATTTTTGATTCTTTTGATTTTATCTAATACAAATAAAAGAAATGCAAAGATCAGATTTCTTTTTAATTGAAAGTGATTGTTTTCTAAAAGAATTTTTTTTTCTGTCAACACAAATGGCATACTTTTGTATCCGCATAAATTTTGCTAAATTTATTAGTTTTATATAAAAATCAATTTTGAGCATATGGCTTAATTTAGTCTAAATTTCTCGAATTCGATCAATTCGTAAGAATAATCAAGTTAAACTAGAATTAAACACCATTTCAGCGAGCAAGAAAAATAAATGCACGGAGGAAAAAGAGCTGATCTAATGATGTTTGTGGACGCATGTTTGTAGCCAAAGAAGGAAAAGAGACAGCTGATTCTTTGTTGGAAGGAGCAGAGAGTTCGTGGCAGCATGCTTCATAGAGACAATCTGTGATAAGAGGAAATGTACAGAGGTCTATTCGACATATGTTGTGAGTTGGTTGAATATAATAAGTATATTAAGGTATTGGATGACATGTGAATGAGAGAGGTATGCACCACAGGAATAAGACTTAGAATTACCTCCAGGTAATCAAACGAGTCGCTAGCAAATTGAACGGATGCACTCAAGGTTGGTTCTAGGAGGCCAGAAAAGCCAGTGTCGCTGACACCATTGGAGAATAGCATGGTCATAGCTGAGCAAATTTCATTAGAGCTTACTTGCACTAAAACTTTAGGGCTAGAGATGCCTCTGGCTCTGATAAAAACTCAATGGTAGAAAAAGATGTCTTGTAGTGGATTAATTGTACTAGAAAGAATATAATCAGCGGTGTCTTTCTCAGGCACGACGATAACGCATTTGGTAGAGCCTCATCTATAATCTAGTGTAAGACTGATTAGTACA